GAAGTGTTTTGTCAATGAAAATGCTTATCCCGCAGCTTCCTTAGATCTTGTCGCGCATATTTGCTATTGCAAGGATACATGCATCCCCTCGCCTCGGGGAATATGCTGAAATGCCCATGATCCTCACGAATCGCAACAACAGGAACATTTGCTTTTGTTCCAGGCTTCAGGCTGCTCCAGAAAGATGTTGGCAATGCAGCCTTCAATGGACGTGGGCATCCTTCAGCGTTCATCACGGATAACTGCGATGCAGAACGAAGGGCTCTGCGGACCGTCTGGCCTGAGGCCGAACAGTTCCTCAGCATTGCCCATGTGCTGCAGGAGGTCTGGAGGTGGCTCCTCGACCCCATACATGGCGTCCCGAGGGACCAACGTCAGGAGCTGATGGGCGTCGTGCGGAAACTGGTGTATGCGGAAAGCCCAGAACGCTTCCAGGCTCTGTTGGCTGCAGAACACGTAGCCCATCAAGGTTTCGCCAGGTTAGTGGATGTTGCCAGAAGTCTAATATTTAAACAAATTTACGCATGACGATCATTTTTTAACAGTTTTACGTTAATTTATATCAGATGCCACACATTTTAGCCCGGGTACCTGAGTCATTAATTTATAGTCCCCAATCTAATGGTTTTAGCGTTAAGAGTGGCTTTTTTTACCGCTTGACCGTTTTAAAACCTGTTATTATATTTCACGGATGCTGGCGGATCCGTCAAAGATAATTTGAGATATCTTTTTTTTTCTGGTACATCCTAGCACTTGCTTCGATACTCAACCACTGAAAGTCAACAATCATTCATGAGGCATTGGTCTCAACTCTCAATATAAGGGTTCCAGAGGCCAGTAGTTGAGATGGAGCCTGATTGCTTCCAACTTTAGACTGACAGCTGCTAGAACGACCCAGCTGTTATGCTGGGACTGAATGCGCCTCGCCAAGCTCGATCGGGGCAAAGGTGAGGAAAGTGAAGCGGCTTGAACTTTTTCTTGAGACGAGTAGTACCTACACAGCTCATGAACAGTGTGTCTACAAAGCGTCCACAAATCAAGTTGGTGTAATACTGAACCTATCGTCTTTCAGGTACATGATGGACCTCTTCGAAAGGCGCGCTGAATGGGCGATCGCGTGCCGCCAAGCATCCGCCCTTCGAGGGAACCTTACCAACAACTATGCGGAGGCCACGATGTGCATCATCAAAGACATCGTCATGAAAAGGTAACTCAGCTTCTACATCAAGTCCTGTTTCCTTCCTTCCTTCCTTCCTTCCCGTGTTTCCTTCCTTCTTATGTTTCCTTCGTTACTATGTTTCCCTCCAAACTTGCTGTATCATACATTGATGTTAATACATTAATGTCAACTCACCTTTACGTTGAGTGATGGACCGGTAGTATGCGAATATTTCACTCAATATTATACAATCTACTGTCGATCCTGTCGACCTCTCGATGGTTTGTCGTCATTCCGCCTGCCATTATTGTCTTGTCAACTTGCTGCGTTTTACGGTTTGGTCAAATCGCAGCATTTTACACGAATGTTTATAAAAGCGGAGTAGGTATAGCACTGCCGTTCTTGGACCGCTTCATGAAAGGTAGCTTTTTGTTAACACGTGGGAAAAATTCCGATTCTGATCATTTAAATTTGGCATTTGCCTTTGCTGGGGGTTGGGGGGGGGGCGTTTTTCGTCACAGCTGACAGATATTTATGTGTGCAAAGAATATGCGTCGCGGTTAAACTTGATGAAGCTTATCATGCTCCAATTTTGCGTTGTGTGTCAAATTTGGCCCCAGGTCGCCTAAGGTCAGGTCACCAGCTCAAGTTAGGTAACCAATAACCATGTCTTTAAAAATGTGATCCTGGCATGCCTACAGTTTATCGTCTACAAGTCTGAAACTCAGTGTATCAGTGTTTGACGGGCGACAGGATGTATGAAACGTTAACTTATTTCTGATTACATATTTGAATGTGGCGTTTAGTCAGATCAATTTTGCGTCATGTCCAAGAAAGCCCAAATCGGGAAAATTACGTCTGATTACTCTTGACATGAACTGTGAATTGTGATCTAACCTAAAAAAAATGATCGAAGTACTTTTCGTCTGTGACAGCCTTATGAATATTTTGGAAATGGTTACTACGTCGTACGTGGTCCGGGAATCTGAGTTAGAGTCTAGAGAGGACGTAAAACGCTCCCCTCGCCTCAGGGTGCTACAATCGTATCACCGGCCCTGGCGTGGTTTGATTACTGATGTGCTTGTTACATGTAATGCAATCGTGATTGTTTCCACGAGTGTGTTGGATGTGGGGGGGGGGGGGGGGTGGCGAAACGGCCCCAAACGGCTGCAGATATCGCCAAACTTTCACGACCCCTCCGGGCATCAATTTTACACATTGTGACCAAAAAGTTTTCAGAGGATATGATAGGTTGGCCAAATTGACGTCATGTTCTGCCATTTTCGGCAAAAAAAGGGTTTCGCGAGAAGAGCTGTCAGGCCTACAGCTTTGAAGATCTAAACTGGCCCCAAAGGCTGCCTGGCCCACATAATCGCATTTGTCATATTGTAAAATGGACCATAAAACATGTATTACACGACACTTTCATATTGTAACCTTAGTCAGTGACCTGACCAACGTGACCTGACCTGGTATCAGTGACCTTAGATAGCAAGATATGTGTTGGACGAACAATTCTTTATCGATGATTTTCACTAACATACCAATTTTCTCGATTTCACAATGCGTTTCTTGAAATGCCTGGAAACGGTGAAAATGCGACCTTTGACCTGATCTGTGACGTCATCGGTTGGACCGAGGTCAATGAAATTGGGTCATATGGTATTTCCCTGGTGGGACTATCGAACGCCGTTCGAATTTTGAAAATCGGCCGGTAAATTTCCGAGATCTTAGGGGGGTCGAAACGCCCCCCCCCCCCCTACGGGTGGTAGGGTCCGCCGATAGGCATACGGGGCGCGAGTTAAGACACCGTACTGCGTTCAAGTCTCGACACAGTTGTGATCTGTTTCTGGTTTCCTTCGCAGGTGTAAAGCACGCAACGCATGCGAGCTTGTCATGATCATGGACGAGATCTACAACGGCTACATGGTGCAGCGCCTGATCGACTTCGCTCTCGACCGTCGCCAAAGCAAACGTTTGGCACCACCTACCATGAACGAGACTTCCATCACCAGAGTAGACGACCACCACTTTCGCGTGACGTGCGAATCGGACCCGAACGTCATATACAATGTGGCTATGGACTTGGGAGTCTGCTCGTGCCCTCAGGGACAATCGGATGGCATCTGCAAGCATCAACTGGCCTGCTCTCATGTGAGAAACATGACCCTGCCACAGGTCTTTAACCCCATGACTGCCGAGAACCGCCGCTGGCTGATGAGCCTGGCGTTGGGTGAGGACAAAGCTTCAGACGCCGGCTTCGTGGCAGAATCGTCAGATGTACCAACCAGCGAGAAAGGGGCCACGGTGCCCACTCTTCTGCCTCCGTCAGTTGACGACTCGGGTCACTCAGGTGAAGAGGCAGGCGCTGCGATTTGGGACGATGACGATCTCGATGCTGTTGAGTGTGTTGTTGCAGGATTGTCCTCGTCAGCGAATGCCTCCGAGACCGACAATGTGGGCCCGTCCGAACTTCAACAAGGCTCACCAGTCGGGCAGAAACCATCGACGGAGCTGATCGACAGCTATCTGTCGACCATGCGGCGTGTGCTTGTCAAGTACGGGGACGGACAAACGAGCAGTGCGCTAGTCAGGGCGATTGGAACGGTGGCTGCTCTGAAGACGAGCGACCAGCTGAACAGCTATCTGCAGTCAGCTGAGCCGCCCTCTGAGTGCCTGAGCAGTGGTTGTGCTGCGCGAGGCACCATCCGGCCCACCGCATTCAGTCTGTGGCCTGAAGACCGGCCGTTTGGCGCCGGTCTGGGCGGGGGGCGGCGCCTGAGGAGCAGCCGCGGAGCCGCTCCACCTGCGAAACGTCCCAGGTCTAATGTTGATAATGTCATTGAGAGCGTAGCCAGTGGAAAGGCGCTTGGTGCTGGTTAGTAATACAAGACTCGACGCCACCAATGGACGACAGCACGCGGTGAATGCTGGATATGACTGTGTGCATATGCAAACGCCTTTCATGAGACTGTGACTGTGTTCAACAGTATGTATAATGGATACCTATATGTCTTGTCTTGCAATTGTGTTTGTTACTGTACAAATAATGTCTTGCACGTGATGTGTATTGTGTATGAAGGGGGCTCAGGACTGCTGGTGAAGCTGCATGCTCACATTGGGCTACAATTGATTTAGCTGTCCATATATCTTGTCCAATCGATGAAATAATCCAGGAATCCATCGTCTTTCGATGTGCGTTTCATGATAACTAGCGGTTTCACCCTCCAACGATTTGCTTTGACCAGTATCGTTAGCATCGCGACAAAGTTGGTAATTCGGGTATAGACTGCAACCGTTTCTTTTGCAACATATTCTCATTAGATAATATGTTGCAATATTCTCATACTTACCTTATATCGCATAGGTAGTCTCATACTTACCTTGGATGTCTTAGGCGTACTCCATTGCGAACGTAAACAAGTGAGCATTGGCCGGCATTTTTACACAAGATCGCGAGTCGCATAGGATTCAATCCACCGGCCCCACTGTGAGTATATGACTGTGACCACTCGGTCGTAGCTACTTCTTGTCTTATAAATGCTCAGTTATGTTCAAATCGAACCTGGTCTCCATTATGCATGCTTTCGTCGTATAGCATATGACGTCAACCAAGGGGTGGCGCTTGTTGAGATGCCGACTCGTGTGATTCGCTTGATAAATACGCCACCTGGGCCCACAGCCACCCATTCATCCATTCGGACAAAATTCCTGGGGAAAAATCACATGTAATTGCACCAATCGCTCCCGTGTGTCGCCGGTTCGTCTGACATGTTTTTGTCGCAGGATTCTTACAGATGGTTTGTCGCTGCTCTGAGTTAGTTCGTACTGCCGCCGCCAGGTGTCTGCTGGACACGTTTGTCAGTGTGGGGTCGCCACAGGCGGACGTAGTGGCCGCGCTGATCCGCGACTTTGACCAGCGCGTGGCCGCCCCGCCACCGGACGTCCCTGCGCCGGCCCAGTGAGTTGGGCGTCCTGGACTCGGCCTGGAGACGGGGTCGTGGTGCCTGATGGTGAAGGCCTTAGACGCCTGGCATCATCTGTTTCAGAACCAGCAGTTTTAACTGGTCTAGTTACTGCTAATGCACTTTCCGCACAGATGAATTATGGGCTTCACCCTGTTTCACAAACACGATAGCAATAAGAAAGTAACTGTTGTCAACGTCTTTCTCGTACGCTATAGCTTTGTACATATTCTAGCATTAGTCGTCCAGTCGCATGCTTTCTAGGGGGACAATAGGAGCATTACGGGAACATTTGTGTGTGTTTTGGTATATTGTCCCGTGCCATACTCAAGTGTTACTTTAAAATCATTATCAAAAAGTATCCTCAGCTGGCTTAACAACTGCCACAGCCTGCTATACATGTGTCCGTATTCGTGTTGGTGTACCACCGCGTCAGCCTCTACCCAGTGTCCTGACATCTGTTTACCACTGCCTAGCCTCTCCCCAGTACCCATTTCGTCATGCTCCATGTCGCTATCGCCAAGTAGCCTCTGCCTGTGTCCCTCTGTGCGGGTGTTTGTCCGGGGCCCGGTGCGAGGCTCCTCTGTCTGGGGAGTCCCAGAGCGCTCTGTGTCTGTCTCTCAGCGTACCGTCCGTCCTGCAGACCGCTGACGGCGGCGGCGGCAGCGGCGGTGCCCGCCGTCCAGCAGGGCATGGTCGAGGTGCGCAGCCGTGTCACCAAGATGCTCAGCTCGACGGCCATCCAGTCCAAGTCCTCCCAGCTGACAGGACTCTTCAGGAAAAAGTAGCGCGACCAAGTGGGTGGGTGTCGGGTCGGGGTGTGCCGGGAACATAAAAGGCTGATTGAGCATTCCATAGGGGGTTATTGCTGTGGGTAGGGCAGGGTAGGCGATTTACTAGTGTAGATATTATGGCCAGACAAGTGAACTGAAGAAGAGCATTTATGAGATATGCGCACATTTTATAGTGTAGTGCGTACTGGTTGCGGGTACAAATATCTCGTGCATTTCCTACTCGAATTTTTATGTAAGCCATAGGTCTTATTTTTATTGGGAAATGGATTGGAATGTGATAATTATTTACAGGATTTCAAACATAACAAAAACAAGTCCCTTACGGGCGTTGACGTTCTTTTTTACGTTTGCTTGAAAGCTTTGTGCTTAAGTTTATGTGAAATCAATAGTTTGTGTAGCACGATCCTAATCGTGCAACAATTAGTGTACATACGTAGACAAAGCCAGTGAGTTTCCATGAATTTCGCCATAGTGAAGAACTGCGGGCTGGTCATCACAGCCATGCTTTAACTTGCCATTGATGTAGCAGCCAAGAATAGTTCCAATGCACATGTGACGGCGCCGAGTTAGTGGAGGGCGCGTATCTCGAGTTTCTCTGAAGGCAGCTGGCTGTCGCGGAAGAGTCAGTTACAGCCCCCCCCCCCTCGAGCTCTACCCCCGCCGTCGCCGGTGTCCCGTCGGTGGCTCTCGTTGCACGCTGCGGGAACCGTCAGTGATCCGGGTACTGTACCGTCCATGCTTATATCGTCCGTGGCATATGCTCGCTGCTGTCGGCGTCCGGGAGTCTGTGTGAGGACAACAGGGTGTTCAGGGGACGTTTTATCGGTGTGTTATGTGGGGGGCGCTGCCGGCGGTCAGGGCGGGATCTTTATCAGGTCACGTGCCACCCAAGGGGACCGGTGACCTGGCAGTGCTGGACCCGCCATATGCTGACAGTGTTGTGATACCGGGTGAGGTTGCGCGATGCGATACTGACGAGACTTATTGTGGCTGCTTGTCATGCTGTGGTTGTGCCTTTCGCGCCCAAGTGAATACATATTGCGCCTATATCGAATTGTTTGGGTTTCGGTCACGCTGGTATTTGTAGTTCCTGGTTTTTAGTTGTTTGCTATTCAACGTGAACCTTTAATGATATGGGCGAGAAAAGAATACTATTCAACTTGTACGCTTTGTACATTTAACAAGTGTTGGTCAAACTCGGGCGTGTTTTTATCCATGTTTTGTGATATGGCTCACTTTATCTTCCGTGCCGGATGTTTGTGAAACGACGACGGCGCTTGGCTGCGAATTTCCGATCCCGGGAACACCACATCAAAAGGATGCGGTGAGGTTGCATCTTGCTCGGTCGTTGCCTCCGGAAGGGTGATGTATGTGGGTGTCTACTTCGTACTTGTAGGTACAGTCTACAGCAGAAGTAATGTGCGGTTTCAGTCATGTGTATGTTCTGCTTCTAAAGCTTAGGAACGATTAGCCAGACTACAATGAAACTTTGAATGTAGCTTGCATGTATCGTCACCTTTGCAGCTGCAACTTTATCTATTGGCGTCTTCTTTTCGATCACTCGACATTAAAAAAAAAAAAAAAAATCGCCAGTCAAAGCCATCCGTTGAAATTGGTAAAACCGCCCATTATTTTTAGCGTTTGGATGTACCTTTTATTGATATACACGAAATTGTGGTGTAATTGCCACACTAAAATATGTACATTTGAAACCATGGCCTTAAAGAATTCGAACTGTGTTGGGGTTAACAAGATGTTTGAGGTCATCCAAGGCATAAGTATGAAGTCACCCGAGCCTCCACGTGGTGTAACCAGTGAAGAATGGTTGAAGCTGGGCTGGCACACTATTGCGTCACTGAACTTACGACTCAAAGCGGCAGAATAAATATACTCGGGCACCTCGCTCATAAGGCGACCACTCTGCGGGGTCTGCACGTGCACAGACGTGCATATAGGGAGGAGCCATCATCGCCAGTCGACTCCGAAAACCTCGCGCTGCACGTGCACACGGCCACGGGCGGCCAGTGCACACGGTCGTACACAGACCTGGAGGTCGTGGGCGTACTTCTGCCTTCAGTCGCTGCATTCGTCCTTTCCGCCACACCTTCTCCCCGTGCGAGCCCTTCCGCTTTCCCCAGTGCATCCTTGACGATGACTGGAGGCCCTAGCTCCGGTGTGGGTTTGTTGCTGCCACTGGAGCACTCGTCTCCTCTCTGGATGTTCAGTTCGTCAGGTACAGCATACAGACCCTCCGAGAAGTCGGACATGGGCCTGATGTATGCCCACGTCGGCTCTGAGGGGACGTTGTTACCTCTGCTCCGCGCCGGGGGTCCCCCCGTGCGCGCTCGGGAGGTGACGGGGCTGTCCCGCACGGAGACGGGAGCACTGGCCGAGACAGCGTCACCTCCGGCGGGAATCGCCCCGTCGTCAGAGGCCGCGGGGTGGCCGGACCCGCGCCGCCTCCACAGCAGGGCGGCCAGGGCACCAAGCAGCAGCAGCAGTAGCGGAGGCACCGACGCGGCCGCGTAGTACTGTGACAAGGAGTTGCCAGCGCTCCGCCGCGCTGATGCGGCTCTGCCGCAGTGAAGCAGCTCGAATTCCGCCAGTGTTGGATTGCCTGCGTCTGCCGGTCCGGCGCAGCGCGCGTTCAGGATGGATTCAGTGAGAGGATGCTCCCCCTCAGAATTTAGAATAAGCTCTGTGTCCTCGTTTGAGAGTAGCAGGCGACTTGCTTGCTGCCATGCTCCACACATACACGGAATGCCGAAGTTGAGGCTACTGAGTATGACGCTGCTGCTGCTGTTAGCATCTACCTGGCTTTCGTCAGCGTCGCTGACATTCCTCAGCTCGCCTCCTAGAAGAGAATCCGCGAACCTCAGCGCACCCGATTCAGCGCGGTCAATCCTGAGCCGTTGGATCGCCACACCCTCAGCATCATGTCCCTTAAGCCGGAGCAGACGAAAGGCATTACGCCGCAGTGTGCCCACCGCGCAGCGTTGCAGGAGAACCGACCTGGAAGCCGTGACCTGAAGCGACCGCGGGCGGAGCTCCCCGAAACTGCAGTCCAGCGCGATGAAGCGCGTGACGTTGAAGCTGACCGCCCTCTCGTCCAGACGACGCATGAAGGTGTTGTTTAGGATCACGGCGTCGGCAATCTGGCCACTGAGGGCGCCGCTGTTGACATATCCCAGCTGAGAGGCGGAGATGACGAGCGAGCGCCAGCGGTACGCGCGCACACAGTCCCGCTCTGCCCGCTGCACCGTCACGGCGTGTAGCATCACGGTATCCATGGCACCCGCAAACGTGTCTTGCCTGCAGCGCGTTATGGTCACATCGCTGATGCTGAGCCTGGTGATGTCGTTGAACGCGCCCGGCTCCAGAGTGAGCGAGGTAATGTTCTCCAGAGTGACACTCTGCACTGGACTGGAACTGCCTCGGAAGGCGCCGCCGGCGATGTAACACTCACGGATGTTGCGCAGTGTGACGTGGTCGGACCTGCTGTAATCAGATAGGGCTATCGTCGCTACCGACAGCTGACGGACGGTGTCAATGGTGACGGTGAGCGGTGACGACGCGGCCAACGGCATGACCAACAGCGCGGAGCCCTTCTCTAGGGTGACATTGTCGATCGCCAGCAGCTGGAGGAGCTCCAGGCGCCGCAGGTGGAACAGGGCGAGGTGTCGGAGGCTTACGGACGCGGCGTTGGCGATCGTCAGCTGGCGCACAGATGTCGGGAATGTGTCGAACGTGATGTTGACCTGGAAGAGAGGCTTAGGTTTAGAGAGGTGAGGTTTTGAAGGTGGTTTAGGTGTACCCTCTCTTTGTAGTTTATTGACTGTAATGCTACTTTCTGCAATTAATAGAGATGTTAGGTTGATATTTTATACCAAGTCGTTAATGGTGTATCTATCATCTATAGCTACGATATTTAAACTCGTCTAACTAATACCTTCACAAGCTGCCCTTCTCTGCCCAAGCTTACGTGTTGTCGTCCCACATTTCTGAGGTCGCAGGTCACTCGATGGGGCTGGCGGCATCCTCCAGCGTAGATGCAGCCCGGTGTGCCGCAGTACACACCGTCTCCAGCCGAGCCCTCTGGCACGGCGAGCACAGCGCCCACAACTAACACAGCCGGCACAAGACCGGCAGCCATCCCGTGACTGCGCCGCGCGCGTCCGCCGTCGGCGACGGAGGCGGGTCACACTGAGGATGCAGACCTCGCTCAGGCTGTTTTCCAGCCAGCGATGACGGTCAGAGGAGCGGACACGGGCCGATAGCAGCCTGTGCTGCAGTGGGGCGCTGCACCACAGCCACAGCTCGCTCCGACCGGAGGCCCGGGGTGTCCGCTCTCCGACCGGAGCCCGGGGTGTCCGCTCTCCCGACCGGGGGGACCGGGGTGTCCGCTCTCCGACCGGAGGCCCGGGGTGTCCGCTCTCCCGACCGGGGGTCCGAGATGTCCGCTCTCCGACCGGAGCCCGGGGTGTCCGCTCTCCGACCGGAGGCCCGGGGTGTCCGCTCTCCGACCGGGGGGACCGGGGTGTCCGCTCTCCCGACCGGGGGGACCGGGGTGTCCGCTCTCCGACCGGGGGGACCGAGATGTCCGCTCTCCCGACCGTCTGCTGCAACTCACGGACCGGAAGCCCGGGAGATTCAGGTTTGCTCTCCGTCCTTCATAAATGTGACCTTGCACGGCTTTGCATGTATTTACTCCTGTGTTTATCGTGCTGCTAAAGCAGGCTAGCAATAGGGAACACACAGTTCTACTTTTGTGAGGTTGTGTTTCGTTTTATGACGTTTGACGTTTCTTCAGCGCACTCGTGCGACTCAAATGGGTTGAAGTGATAACTTGTGTTCAATGCAACTCATCTACCGCTTCGAGTCACCTGACGACAACACATGTTTACGAGATGCGTCATGGCTGATGATGTTGCTTTAGATTCATATCTCAAAGATAGCGTTTCGTCTGCAGAATAAGCCTCTAAGCCTACAGGCTGCACTTAAAGCTACCTTCATCCTGAAAGCGATGATGATACCTGTATATTACCCTGACGCTGATAACGCTCGATGGGCCATCTCGGACGGCCCACATCGGGTGATTCCCGTCGCTTCCCGTCCGATAAGCTCACGAGAGGCCAGAGAGAGGGAGAGAACGGGACTTTGAGGTGTTTCGCGGAAAACCCTGAGGGGGAACTGGGTGCATGATGGGTCAGAGGAATGGGACAACCCACAGATGATTCAGCGAAAAGTAGAGCATTTTTTGTCCATGGGCGGGGATGATATTCATTCGTCGAATAACTGCGATCCTTTGTCATGGCATTGACATTTACGTGTACCTAGGGCATCTTGCCTGGTCTATTTCTTCTGCCTCAAGTTATGCTTAGACATCACTTGAAGTAAATGTCCTTCGGGCGACCGGCAGTGATATCCCATGGGTAAGACGGATTCCGGAACACACTTTCATATTTTATATTTAGAAATATTTTGGTATTTTATAGGGTAACTGCACACAATACAGATACCCTACAATACCTTTGACATGTAGGCGTCAAGCAATCTAGGTTTACCTAAGCAATGTCGGCTATGCCTATTTAATGACAATTTTTCGCCACTACAAAGCATTACTCTCCTTTTGACCTCAGCCAGCAACCAAACGAGCCCGCGCCCGCGCGGCCTCGTCCAGGAGACGCAGTCTGTGTCGAACTTAGGTACGAGAACTGACCACTCGTAGAACAGTGGTCAGAGATTATGCACGCCGGGTTACGAGGGACGTATATTGCTTATAGGCATGGCTATTGGCTGTCACAAGGCACCGTCTTATCACTGACCTTCCGCTGCCCGGCAGAGGACTGCGGAGTCCTGGCGCGCGCTGCTACCAGCCCCCCAGTCCCGAACTCCCGACAGACAGTGATAGGGTGGCGGGTGACGCTTGTCCCGGAGTAGACGCCGACCTTCTACCGATAGGACTAGCACCCCTCCTCGTGCACGGGCCGTTTCGGGTGTGCGCTGAACAGCTGGGGTGCCTTTCAGTGAATCACAGATATCGCGCCATGACGTGGCCGTTATCAGTGCCGCCGTGATGGCAACAGTCAGCGAGATAAAAAGAACCCGGAATTGTTGCAAATAGCTCCAGTTACCGACAGTGACTGGCAGGGGAAACAAGTGTAGCCAATGCATCTTACAAAGTGCGTTTCTTTTTCACTGAGCGATGTGACATTCGGAAGTTTTGCTAGTTATGGAAGACGGGGGCTGGACCGTAGTGCAACGGCGGCGCAAACGCATCCAAACAAGTGCCGGAGATGCCAGAACCAGCAAGTCGACTGATCCGAAGAAGAACGAACCACACAATGGCTCAAACTCATCAAAGGTAAACTTTTTTTGTTTATGTGGTTTGACCTATTCATCATTGATAACAGCGTGCCCAATGCCTATATTTGGGAATATCAGTTAGTCAGGAAAAAAACGATAGATACTTTATTGTTTGTATTTAACATCTGCTTCATCATAAATTGCTAGGTCGGGCGGCGGTAACTCCAATTATTATCACAGCACTCCTACCAGTGAAATACCTACATGAGTGCCATCATATCAACCAGGACCGTATCATAATGCTCGTCACCAGTCAACGCCTTTATTTCAGGGCTTTCGATCCACCAAGAGCCAACCGGACCCCAAAGCACGGCTCGTGGCCGGGAAGAATCCTACAGCTGCCTCTTCTCGCGGGATACGCTGTGCCGTATGTGGTGATTTCAGCTGTATTGCCCAGCTCTCACCCCGCGAGGTCCTGCTTCGACTGCCACCAGCGGGACCAAGTCAGCCAGAATCGTCTGTAAGTGAAGTAAGTGACTTATTACATCACACCCAAATTTGCTTGTTTCTGCTTGACGTCCAGCTGGCTCTTTTAATTTCGCGGAAAACAGTTTCTGCAGCAACAGATAAAACATTAACTGAAGAATTTGCCAGCATGCCAGATATAATTATCACGTATCTTACGTTCCATTACTAACAGGTCAGCAATCGTTTCATTGTGCTTCACTACCTTAACACCGATAAAATAAGGTAATCCATACCTCACTTGTTTGCCTCTGCTAACTGACGCGTGTCGCTGTCGACTGCCGCAGAAGTCGCCGTCATCTCCGCTCACCTGCGAGGAGCTGAAGCGGCTGCATCTGCCCCTGCTAGATCTGGAGCATGGTGCCGAGCTTGCCCGTCACATGGAGATGGCCGAGTTCGGCCAGCTGAAGGATCTGCTGGTAGACGGCACGGAGGTGACGCCTCACGGACTGCGGCTGTGGGTGCTGCGACCGGCCGATGGCACCGGGAACGGGCCGGGCGCAGCGGCCGTGGACGAGAGGTTGTTGCCAAAGCACAACATTCGCGCTCGCGAGCCAATAGAGGTGACCAGAGATAAAGAGGACCGAGAGGAACTGGATGCGGAGAGCCAGAGGGCTGTGGTGTACCGGGTCACCGACTATGAAATCATGATCGTTATAGAAAAGGGTGGCAAACTTACTCAGGGAAATACGGTGAGCATCAAGAGAGTGGACGAAGATCGTATGTACTGGATGATGCGTAACATCGTGAGAGGACTGGACGGCATCTCTGGAAGAGCTCTCCGGCTGCGAGCAGTTCTGTTTGGTGAGTGGCCCGTAGAATCCGCGGATAAACTGCCGGCGAAGCTCGTCAATGCAAACGGAAAGCTGGACTTCTACAACGTCGGGTTGAACCAGCTTCAGCGCGACGCTGTGGAGTTCGCCGTCCGTCAGAAGCATCTGGCCGTCATCCATGGTCCGCCCGGGACTGGCAAGACCACCACCATTGTCGAGATCATCCTGCAGCATCTGAAGATGGGCTGTCGCATTCTGGCGTGCGCCCACGCCAACACGGCTGTGGATAACATGCTCGAACGACTAGCCGAGAAGAACTCCCTCCACAGCCTTGACCTCCGTATGGTACGTCTTGGACATCCAGCTCGCATCAGGGAATCGCTGCTCGACTTTTGGCTAGACAAGGTGGCCGATTCACTCGATGATGGTGTAAGCCACCACCATGGCAAAAAGGGGTCTCCATCTGAAGCCAAAGCACTACAGAAACTCGTTATAACGAAGTCCAAAGTTGTCTTCTGCACACTGGCCAGTACGAGTGGAGAGGGCCCGCTGGAAGCACCCGGGCACCTGGGCCTGGGTGCGTTTGACCTGGTGGTGATCGACGAGTGCTCACAATCGATGGAGGCCGCCTGCTGGCTAGCAGCGCAGAGGACCGGGAAGCTGTTGCTGGCCGGCGACCACCGCCAGCTGCCTCCGACCATCATCAGCAAGCCTGCAGCGCAGTGCGGCCTGGAAGTCTCCCTGATGGAGCGTCAAGTGGAGCTGCACGGGGAGAAGGCGGTGCGCATGCTCTGCACCCAGTACCGGATGCACGAGCTGATCCAGCAGTGGCCGTCTCAGCAGCACTACGACAGCCGTCTGGAGGCGGCGCCGGCCGTGCGCCATCACCGTCTGACCGATCTGCCCGGCGTGCGCCTCACGGTCGACACGACTCCTACCTTGCTGCTCGTCGACACGGCCGGCTGCGGGCTCACCGAGGCCAAACCTGACGAGGCCCACTCGAGAAGCAACCCCGGGGAGGCCGACATTGTGGTGGCGCACGTGGAGGCTCTGGTACGTGCCGGCGTGTCCCAGGACCAGATAGGCGTCATCACACCATACTGCGCCCAGATCACCCGCGTGCGCGACGGCCTAAGGCTCCGCCGACTGAAGGAGGTGGACGTTTACACGGTGGACGGTTTCCAGGGACGCGAAAAGGAAGCCATCGTCGTATCGTTGGTCATATCCAAGAAGTCAGGCCTGAGCTTCGTGACAGACACGCGCCGCATCAACGTGGCCATCACTCGCGCCCGGCGACAGCTGGTGATCGTCTGCGACACGAAGATCTTGGGCAGAGACGACGACGCGCGGTCGTTGCTAGAGTACATGCGGCAAAATGGCGAGGTTAGGTCGCCACGGTACTGCAGGGATGGGCCCTAGAACCCGAAAATACGGAGGAAAGTAATAATGACGTTTGCATAGTATCGCAAATTTTTAATTGTAAAACTTCGATCAGACGTCTCACATGTAATATCCCTAATTCAACCATCGTTTTACACATCACCGATCGCGGCCTTTTGACGACCCTGGAACCTGCCACAAACGCCGACAAGCTGCTTCTGGACATGTCGACCACGGCCTGGAGGAAGGCGGCCTGCAGAATTGGAAGTTGTATCTTTCAAGGGCTCGTGACTGTATGGCGACCCAATTCACTAGAAATCACCTGCCCCAAGAACTTGTCACTCCCATTCCAAGCGCAAAGAACAGTGGCGGCGCAACGCCTTTGGGGGGCACTGCCGACTTTTGGTCCCATTCTTTTTATGCAACACCAATAGGGCTAATGTTAAAATGACAAAATCAAAGGGGGGCACTGCCGACTTTTGGTCCCATTCTTTCCATGCAACGCCAATATAGGGCTGATGTTAAAATGACAAAATCAAAGGGGGGGGACACGGTGCCCCGGTGCCCTCCCCGTTCCGCCACCTATGTGGCATATAACATCCGTTAAGGTACTTTGTTGTCGATTGAAGTCGATTGAAGCCGGAATTTGGTATGGAAAAAGAGAGTGGCTAATTCTAAACGGTTTTAAGTTGAGATTAGACGCTATTATTTCTAGCGCAGTGCACAAACTCATCCACGTCAACGTTTTGAGTCCGGAATTCCGCGCTAGGCTCCGTGCAGTACCAAGGTGTTACCGAAAACACCATGAATCAAGTATTCCACCGTCTCGATCAGTTCGAAACTAGAATAATACCGGTAAACATCCACCGTTAAAAACATCGTTAAACATCGTTCCACCGGTAAACATCGCCAAGAAGAGTAGCGGTCTTCTTTGGGGGTGGGGGGGAGGGTAGGATCTTTCGGTCTAACGAGACCATTCCAGAGCCGGAAGGTTGACAGGAATTAAGGGAAGACATTGGTCTTGGCGGATACCTTGGCTAGTCGTCGGCGCTTAGCCCATCCAGTGGGCAGGCCACCTGGCCCCCTGACTCTCACCGCACCCGGCTACGGGCCTGCTCCTATTAGGGGAGCTTCCCGCCTTTGTTGTAGGTGTGTTGCCAGATGTGAACACGAAATAGGATCAAGCTATGCTTGGTGCTCAACGAAGATAATTAGGTACCTAGGTACTTCAACTGGTTGCATTTATATTTAATATATTTTCATAGAGAAATGTTAACGGTACCGGTCTTGCCTTTGATAATTGATCACTCATCATCATTCTCAGGAGGCTGGGAACAACTGAAATGCGGGAACTGAGAGTACCAATACAAATGGAACCATGATATACCGTCACAAATCAATCGTTGTTTCTCTTTTCTCCTGCATAGGTATGATGCTGTAGTTAGGTCAATAGTAACCTTTGAGAAAGACAAACTACAACTTCAACTAAGCCCCGTACACGGGAATAGGTACGTACTAATACGATCCTGAATCGCTGCCCTTGCCCTTGTACCCAACATAGGCGTCGCCAGAGATTTTCGGTTGGGGGGCAAAACCAACTTTTGTGTGAAATATTGCCTTTCCCCAGTCGTTACTCACTCGTTTTGCATATCATTCGACGCGCAATGGTGCGAGGAATCCGATGGTGACAAAGTTTTCCTTCTAGCTATGACATGTATGTTTTTACAGAAAAAATCGAAATTTTGAAATTTGTGGACAAAAACGACCGGTAGAAATTCGGGGATGCGGAGCCGTGGGAATTTCAGACGGCTCCGGCTCCGGCTCCGGCTCCGGAGAAAAAAAATCGGCTCCGGCTCCGGCTCCGGGTGAAATGCCATGGCGGCTCAGGCTCCAGCTCCGAGTAAAATGATCCGGCTCCGGCGGCTCCGGCTCCGGCTCCAAATGCTCAGTACATCCCCTATACAATTAAATACGGGTGGAAGAAAAAAGACGATGGAATTGGTGCACGTTGCTTCTGTATTTCCATAACAAGGCTATTTTCATATTTTGAATACCGCATGTTTTACTGCCATGAACTGTCAAACCGAACTAGGTCAATAATTTTTCCTCTTAACCCGCGCCCGGCTGGGGGTCCTGGATTTCCACGCCCTGCTGGGAGGGGGGGTGTTTGAACACCCCCCCCCCCTTGTAACTCGGCTCCTGGGCCACGTAGCGATACGCGGAAGGCGGCGTTCGAAAGAGCGTCAAAAATAATGACGAAATCACTTGTCAATTTTTTGGTCAGGTCAAAGGTCAGGTCACCAGAGGTCATTAAAGGCAAAATTTCGCCGATTTCCAGGTCGAATGTCGAAAATTTCCAAGAAGCCAACGCATAACTCGGGAACCAATAGAGCTACAGCGCCGCGGAAAAGTGCATTCGATAGCCCTATTAACGCCCTTTCTGAGTAATTCTCTCAGATTTGACCTAACGTCAACGGTTTTGCCTGCAGGGGGCAAAAACTGCAAAAATAGCCGATTTGTTCGGAAACAGTTTTTCTGCAATAACTTTTGACCCAAGCCTTGTACGAGCTTACTTTCACCGGCATCGTGTTCCTCTCGTCAAGACGCATCGAATGAACTATAACTTGAGGTCAACTTGAAAATTTGACCTCAGGAGTCAGGTCAAGGTCATGACCTGACCGGAAAGGGTCATGTTGCATATCAGTCGATCCGTATCGTCGAGCTGAACACATATAAGGCGTTTTCATCGCTCTAGCATGCCTCTATCAAAAGTTATTTGCGAAAAACTGTTAGATACCATTCGTGACCTAAGATGACCTCAGGGCACAAACACGGGTCACGGACACCATTTTCATGTTCAGTTTGTCTAAACCACTTGTAATTCGGTGTTTGGGAGTGTTTATAAAGTCTTTCGTCCAAAAGAGGCGCATTTCAATTTTCTCCCATTGACTTATAATGGGGAGGTCGCAAAATTGACCTGACCTTAGGTCATCGATATCAAAATTCTGAGATACACATTTTGTACATGCTATTGCTCTTAGCAATCGCTGAAAGTTTAAAAGCGATCGGTCACTCGGTGTAGCTATGACAGACATTGAAACTTTTTATGAGGTGAGGTCACTTCAAGTGACCTGGTGACCTGACCTTGAATGACCTTGGTCTGAAATTTTCACAACATGTGTAGAATTGATGTATGATAAGGTGTACCCAAAACGGCGGCGCTCCGCGCCGCCGTTTTTGAGATATTCGCGAAAAACCACAAAGGGGGGTGTTCAAACACCCCCCCCCCCAGCAGGGCGCGGGTTAAAAAAGGAGCCGGAGTCGCCCCCTTTTTTGACGGCTCCGGCTCCAGCTCCGGCTCCGGGCTATATTGTTTCACGGCTCCGGCTCCGGCTCCGGGCAAAATGTGTCGGCTCCGGCGGCTCCAGCTCCAGTTCCGGCTCCGGCTCCGCACCCCACCCCTGGGTAGAATTACAATGGCTGCAATTGACGACGCACTGCAGAGGGTCCCTGTGCAGACTCATCACTCATGATCATTACCCAGAAAAAGGTGAAAAACGCTCCATTTAATCGGATCACCCTGCTAAAACCTCCATTCACGCATGCATGCAGAGGTTTTACGTGAAATGCATAGAACTTATCCCAGCCGCCGATTGTAGCTAAGAATTGGGCATTCGACGGAGACTGAGAGCGAATGTCGGAAGTGTGAATCGGAAGTAAATTAGTTGGTAATTCATCTTTGCTCCAGTGGGAGGAAGTGTTTTGTTCACTCGAGTACGAACAAAAAGTTTATTGTTTTTTTCGTGTGAAGGGAAGCGCTGCAAACGTGAGCAATAATGTTAAACGGGGCCAAAAGTTACGCACGGCATAGCGGCAATGGATCCCTTAGAGATAGGCTTTGGACTTCCAGGCCATCTCAGGCCACTCAGGGTCAGTGTGGACTCTCAGAAGCCTGCTTAGGATCCCGGAGATCGGCGTGGGTCACCCAAAATATTTACGTGTATGTGGTGCTTTACGGCTTTCCGAGCCCGCCCAAGGTGGAGCCCTCTGCTTCAGAAGCCAGTGTGGGCGGCGGGCGCTAAGAGACTACGCCCAGGGTGAGCCTAGAGCCCTCGGATAAGTGTGAACCGTTGGGGTCTGTGTTGAATTCCTAAGGACCCTACGTAGGGACATAAGAAACATGTGTTGCGGCCCTCAGAAGGACACGTGAGTTGTGACCCCTCAGATGCCGGCTTGGGGGTAGCAAAGTCTGTCGCTTCAAAAGTTCGGCTGAACTATCAGAGGCCAGTTAAGGTTCTCGGAAAATTTCAAAGGCATCCTCAAAGATTCGTGTGGCCCTTCAGAGGTCTACGTATGTATAGGTAAGGTCCTAAAAGATCCCTGTGTCGGCCCTCAGAGAACATGGACACCAGTGGGACTCTCAGAGGCCGGTTTGGGCCCTCTGAAAGCTTCTTAGACATCAGTGCAGAGCTCCTTAGGAGCCTGTGTGGAAAGCAAGCTCATGAGCTCTGCGGCACTTGAACGGTACTTGAGCCTGTCGCAGACATTTGACGAGTCGAGAAAGGCCCCATAGATTTCGTGTCACGCTTTGAACGAAAATTATGTGTCAGCACTCCAAAACTTATGAAAATCATCTATAAAATGTAATAAAGAACCAACTTGGAACATGGAATGAATCACAGCATTGACATTTCCGAGTCTGGGAGTCGGAGTCTTGAAGATTTTAGCGACTGCGACTCTGACTCTGGTTTGAACTGCACGCTCCAACCGAGTCTGACCTTACAGACATTCTCAGAAAGGTACCCCCATTTTTTCCCGACTCCAAAATCTCATCGGATCTGTATCGATCTCAGGGGGTGCCCGGTCCGAGGTTAGGGGGGCAAGCTGCCCCGCTTGCCCCCCCCCCGTGGCGACGCTAATGGTACCCAACATTAAGGATTGAAACATAGACCTCTGTATACCGGTATACAGAGGTCTATGATTGAAATTATTCCAACAATAGGAGACTGAAAGAAATGCTCGAAATTCGGATATCTGAAGTTGTGAAGTGGTTTGGATCGTCATTCATAGAAGGAAGGGAAGTTTCCTCCTGCATTTAACCTTGGTGTAATTAACAATGATTTCTTTCCGGTTCCTGGACTCCGGAAATCTACCTAAGTGAAGCATGACCTGAGGCTAAAGGCGTAATTAGTCGACCCTCATTGAATGAAGCATCCACTCAAATGAAACATTATTAATTAGATGCCCGAGAAATGCGTCGAGCACTGGCTCCAGCCAACAGTGCAAAATGCGGATGAAAATGCTATGGTTTCCATTTGTTGTATGCGCATTAAAAGATAACCGGACTTTAAGCCGTGTTTATCCTCTGTAGTCGCCCAACCATGGTGAAGCCAGTAGGTATCCTCTGTCAGTTATTCACGATTTCTTATTAACATGGCCCGTGTTTATGCAAAAAATCTGCGCTTTTATTTCCTGAACGACCAATCTGGACTGCAGTGTTTGATGGGCATTGGGCATTTCGGTAACATAGCGGGGTATGTTAGCAACTCGGCATACCTATAATAACGGGTGTGCACTTAGTTTCTGGAAAAAGTTTGTGCTGCCATAACTTAAGTGTTTGAACTTAGACTAAGATGATATTTGGCACATATATAAATTGCAACAATAGTTAAAAGCTGTCAAAAGAATTAGGCGCTCTCTCCTCCCAGGCGGTCTAGAGCCCACGTGCTATACAGACGCCTCCTGTTGAAATTGCGCGGCACCTCCAGGTCCAGGTGTGGCGATGGCTAGCGCGTTATGGACTTCAAATAGACGCTGATATGCACTTAACATCTTCCTTAGTACTATTTTGTCTTCAAAAGTCCACATTCGGTCGCCGTTGAGATATGCCAAGAAGATTCTCTTCGCGACTCACAAACGGTACATGTGCGGCGACCCGTAGATCCAGCGCTCCGCGCGCACAGTGACTGCATTGTGGTGTGATCATGACACCTATACTTTCCTGGGGTAGTGATGTTCCCAATGTGACAAAATTTCTTTATTTAAGCACTGCTGTCAAAAGATATCGATGTCGGCACTGGCTACATAGGGCTAACATAAGATTGGATACCGCACGTGGGGATTTGGCGGTCCACTGACCAGGAGATAGCGTCAAAAGTGGTCAACAGGCTGAGGTTCCACATTTTGTGAGCGCCTGCCTCTCGAAGTGGTGTTTTACCCCATCTTCATTACATAAAATTTCCCTTTTAGGCGATCTAATTCCAGCATCCACAGGTGATTGCTTGATTCGTCTGTGCACTGAGCATTTATCATGATAGCTTACAGATCCATGTCTCATTGCTCCTCTGCTGCTTTTATCGGCTGCCGAATGCTGGATCATGGTATCTCTACCCTTTTTGGTATACAATATCACAATTTGAATTTTTTCTTCGAAAAATGGAAAACGGGAGGACGGGAAACGTATCGGGAACGCTCACAAGATGGTGAATACCTTTTACCAGAACGAGCCTCTTCTGCTGGGGCACTTTCGCCACGAATCAACACACCTGCACACTGTGCATGTGCCACGCACTTCCCCGTGCTTGTGCCGTTCCTCTAATGGCACAAGCTTTCTTTCTAGCAATACCTAGAAAGCGCCAATGGGAAGAGAAGTTGTTTCTCTGGAATTTTTGTTATTTTTGTGAAAATTCCGCCACTCTTTTCCGCGTTCATGACTTAGTTGTAAGCTCCTTTCTGTATGAAAAAATAGTCGGTTTGGTCTGAATTTTGGCATGCTCATACCAAAATGAATGATTATTCACTATACGAAAGTTTGTTTTGATATCTTTAATAGTTTTAAAGATACGGATGATCAATCTTTTTCCAAAAACTAAGTGCACACCCGTTACATGGCAATGGATGGTAATGCTTTATTTTTATTGGTATATGCATGTAGTGCATGCATGTAGTGAATCGCTGCTCGAGATTCGTCACTGTTCACTGTTCAGCCCATTTTGTCACATTAAAGGCTGGAAACGTATAAGATATGGTACTCAGAGCAGCGGTCGGGACTTGGAATCAGGCTCCGCGGGTCTTTCCGTGAACTGCATGCAGTTACTTCAGCCTAGCGTCTTCGTCCGGGTCGCGAAAAATTCCGTCTGCGCCACACAACTACGCCTTGTCACGTTGCATGCAGTCACTATATTTACAGCGCATCTTTTTCACCGCGCGGCGGCGACGCGGACAATCGGTGATACAATGGAAGGATACAAATCCAGCACGCAGGACACAGACCTCTAGCAGGACGCTGACAGTAACCGCTCTCGGGTTTGCCGGTGTGTGCGTGTCAAAACGGCGTCCGTCAGTGCTCGCGCCAGGCACCTGACGCCCACCCTTCACAGGTCGCTCAGCCGCCTCCTCCTCCTCCTTCACCTCGTTCCACACCCCGTCCCGACTAGAGCTCGCACACAAAGTGATGGCGGTAGGAGCACTGCTCGTCGTGCCACGCCACGCCGTCGCCGTAGAGGTCGTTGAGCACGGCGATGCAGTCCTCGAAGCCCTCAGCATTGTCCGGCTGCGGCTGGAACAGCGGGCCCGTTCTGCTCCAGCGTGTGTAGCCGGCAGAGACGGCCGTGCCGTCGGCCCATCGGAACTCGCCTGTCTGGAACTTGCCCGACGTCCATAGAGAGCGAATATCTGCAATTAACGGGCGGCGGCCGGTCAGCCGGGATGCCGTGTGGGGTACACCGACACCGATCAGCGGGAGCGAGCTTGACGGACAGATGGGCCTTTAAAGCGGTACACAAGTCCGTTGGGTTATAGAAACGACGCATGAAAACATGAGACTAAACGGAATGTATAATTGGCAAGAACAGTGAGTGTGTTGTTTGTCTAGAGTTATACAAAGCGGAAGCAAATCACCAAACTGCTTTCGAGTCACGAGCCTAGGTCTTCGGCATTGGAGTTACAGCCTGACGAAAATAAAGGAACAACGGGTTTTCGCTGTGAAGTTGCGAATAGCGGTGGACGGCCATGAGCCAAGACGTCTACCAATAATTAAGGGATAAAACCGCTGCTGAGCGGAGCCGGGCACTGGTGGTGCGTTCGTACTTTGCACGGGTTGACCAGGTGATTCACCAACCGGATGCATCACATCCTGCTGCCTCGGGCGTGGGGCTGCATCCTGGTACGGCTAGGCTCCGTGACAATCGACACAGCCATTGTGAGGCAGTTCGACAATCGCGGAGGAAAGGTGGAATAGAACAAAGCCAAACCTAATTGAAGTAACGGCTCATTTTTCATCGGCGTTATTTTTAGGCAACGAAGATAAGGTAAATTATTAAGCAGATCACATGACTTGTCACCCCCAGCTAGTCCTGATAGCTTGAGTAATGGATGAAATAAATGATGGAAAGTAGCAGCTAATGGCTGAAGGCACGGTAATTGCTTAAAGTGGACGCTTTGGCATTCGGAACACTGCACTGCAAAAACTGGCTTTTGCATTCCGGAGCAGCTAGGGTCGTTCCTGGAGATAATAACTTTATCTCGGTTAAGAAATATAAGTAGCTGCCAACCGCAAAATGTGTTAATTATTTTCATGTTTAGGTATATATATATATATATATATATATATATATATATATATATATATATATATATATATATATATATATATATATATATATATATATATATATATATATATCCCAATATTGGCCTAACATTCCTGTTATCTTTTTAACATAAAACAGGCTGGAATGTTTGAACGGACATATTATCTCGGCGTTCACTCTGGGGACTGAGGGGCTGAGCCAACTGACCGATTTTTTTTCTATGTAGATAACTCAACAAACTAATCATGCGATCAGCCTGGCATTTTCTACTGATTCTCGCTTTCATGGGCCAGCGGTCCCCCCCCCCCCCTGACAACCGGTGGATGAGGTTGGGTCCACACCCGGACCCGTATATCCTCTCCGGGGTGACCGTTTGGGAGGCGGGCAAACTGTCCCGACTGGGCAATCCGGTCCCACCGGGACGGTTTCGCCTCCGCGGCTCACTGTCGGTATCCCGCACAGCCCAATACCTAAACTATATCCTATATCATCCCATAGCTCTTTAACGTTCTTTTCAGGCCGAAAGAGCCGCAAAAAACTCTCCCCCGCACTCACCCTCAGCCTCTTCGTCGAACAGCCAGGAGAGGTAGCTCTGTTTCTCCCTGGTGTTGACAGAGATGAGCTGGCCTCCCTCCATGCGGCAGATGTCGTCCGCCTCCGCCCACGTGTAGAGCATGCGCGTCGGAGGTGCATCACGCCACGACAGGTAGTAATAGGGACGGCCTGTGGGCACCACAGAGTCGGCTGATGTCACAGAGGTCCAAAGTGCAGCCTGCAGGGCCGGATATGGCAAATCCGGCCGGGCCGACTCGTAACGTCTGCCCCACACGAACCTGTCATGAAATGTGTACTATGTGGGAATGCTTGAAACTCGTTGTCGGAGTATCCTTGAAGTACCTTTGTTAATTGAAACTATAGGTATATAACATTCAAATAAAAATAATGTTTGTGGTTCTAGGCACTAGGCATATGCTGTGTTTGAGATAAATATGAAAAAGTTATTAAAGATACCTATCTTATTGTTCCTTGCTGTTCTTCAACAGAAAGTGGTTTGCAAATTTCGGAGGACGGTCGGCTCCTTACCTGGCCGGCCGCGGACCTGGCTGGTCACGCCGCGGGTATTGCTTGGACCTTGAGTACTTCCTGCACCTTGAGCGCCGACCGCACCTTGAGGACCAGCCGAAGCTTGACCGCCGCTCGGTCCTTGAGAACTGCCAGAACCTTGAAAACCACCTGCACCTTGCGAATAGCCCGCAGCTTGAGCAGCGCCCTGAACCTGATAGTTGTTTCTTCCTTGGTACGCGGGTCGGCCACCGAATGCGCTAGGACTCGTGAAGCCGCCAGAGCCACTGTGTCTGCCGACGTTACGGTATGCGCCAGAGCCACCAGACGGGCCGGCACCAGAAAAGCGACCGGGTCCGGAGAAGCCGGGGCCGGAGCCGGGACCGCCGCGGCCATTGTACCACTGGGTAGGCGCGCGCGCCGGCTGCTGGGGCGGCGGCGGCGGCGGCGGCAGCGTGGTGGTGGGCGCGGCGGTGGTGGTGGTCTCCGGCGCCGCCTCGGTGGTGGTCGACTTCCTCTTGGACTTCCGTCGGGAGCTCTTGTTTTTCTGACCCACGGCCAGGGCCAGTAGGGCCAGGACCAGTAGTGTCCGGAACGCAGCCGGCTGCCGGCGCAACACAAAATCATTATTTACTGCCTGTGCAATTATGACAACTCGGTTATCAGCGTGATTTTGAAGTTAAACGTCACTCGCCTACATATCATAAACCAGCATCATTTAAAACGCTACTGTAATTCAATGGCTTGGCCTATTATTTTAACATGACATTTTAAAATGTAGTGTACGTACAAAAACAAGGACAAATAATAAGCAGTAACACAAACAACTAATGGAGGCCATCACAACAACCGACGTTCAAATCCGTAAAAGATTCACTTCACTGCTATACCATCCTCTCCTCACAAAGACACACACTTGCATGGATGGAGCTTTTCCAGGGAAGTTGGTGGGGCAAAAAGTCGTCAAACCCACACGTCCAATTATGAAGTTGAATAAAATGCCACATTGAATAAATTCCTATCATTACAGATATAATATTTTGCATTAAACAGACATTTCAGGGCTCTTCAATGCGAAAAAAAGATTAATTTGCAAAGCAACGAAGTCTTGGAAATCAGCTAAAGTTGGTGGGGCAAAACGCTTATTGGTGGGGAAAAATACCAAGTTGGTGGGGCAGCCGCCCCACCAACTGTATAGGAAGCTCCGCCCCTGCACACTTGCGATGCTCCCGATCTGCTAATCAGTCGGAGCACGAGGCAATGCACCTGTCGTCGAACATACCTTCATATCGAGTGCACGGACCGGCTTCGGGACTGGTGTGGGTCGTCTGCCGACGCACCGTTATATACTCGTCCGACGGGAGGCAGTTTTCCTGGTCCTCTTCGAGACGCTGCCCGGTGCGACACCGGCCCGAGCGACCGCCGCGGCGGTCGCTCGGGCCGGTGTCGCACCGGGCAGCGTCTTCGCGCCGGAGACGGAATACAGACCGCGCTGCAGCGACGACGACAAATAGCTGCGCAGCGGGTCGGTAGGCGGATGTTTTTGGATTGGGTGTCGTCTCGATGTTTAGGTCTGTCATGGGCAGGGATATTATTTATATACATAGTACTTACACCTGAAAAACCTTTTTACAGCCGGGGGAACCCCTCTGCCGCGTCCAGATAGGCCTACAAAATAAATTATTGGTCTTTAGGAACATTGTGGCGGAAGGGGAGGAGGAGACCGCGCAATTCAGTCGTAGAGCTATCGGGGGTCGGACTGACCCTCCCTCACCATTGCTTCCACGTCTCCCCTTTGTTATAAGCCGCAGTTCCGCCAGCCCTCGATCGGGAGCACTCGCCTAAAATCTTCGTTGGGAACCCTAGTTATTCTTATATTGACTTGCCTAATTTATTATGATGGTAGAAAATGACCTTATGCTCATGATACAATGAAATGATATTAAAATAAGTCCAAAAATATTATGATATATTTCGACTTGCGTCGTCTTCAGAATGTACATTTTCAGAATTGTCGACGAACAAATTCAAATCCTTTCAAAATAGCGTGCAACATTTTTGTGAGATCTCTGGCTAACAAATTACAGTCAGGTCATACCTATAATAAATTTTAACAGCGTACAATACAATGAATACAATATCACTCATAATTATGCTCAAACTAGCCATAGCTCACCTCCAACGAATTGCCTAATTTATCTCATGAAGGCAGATCCGTGGCATGAAAGGGGCTCTAGCCACCTCAGTTGTATAACTTCTTTTAGCCGACTAAGCATTGGCTTTGATGTCCCGACGACTTGCGCAATGCGCATTAAACTCATCGCAAAGACCATGTAACGCGATCAGATATGACCCAGTACCCAGCCTGTCAAAATTAGCAATAATCAACGACTATCTATATTACTATTTGAGGAGGGTGCGTCTGTCCGTTACCGAGGTCCCGACTTGGTCGTGCTTTGCGTGGACTACAGGCCAGACCGTTGCACCTAGCCCGATGAAATTTGCACAACTTATAGATCAAGGATGCGCGACGTGCCTTTGAGGGGTCTCAGCTCGATGGGATTGGTAGGGAGCGCGTGGCACGTGCTCAAAAAGTGCAAATTCGCGTCATAGACTTTACATGTATAAATCGGCTTGCAAAATCGGGCGAAAATGGCTAAATTTGCCCGACACGGGTCCGATCCCCGTGCAATATCTCGGTAACCGTGGGCCGGATCGGCACGGGGAAAACAGCATTGTGTAGATAATTGAACAGGCTATCGAATGATATGCGGTGCAGGGGATGGCACGTGCCACGTGCACCCGTGAGGGTACATTGGTTGAAAAATTGCGGTTTTTGACGGATTTTGGAATTGATTTTATTTTTAGGTGACCATTAAACGGAGCGAGTTGGAACAGCGCCTGTTGGCAAGAGAAATGTACCGCCTCTCATGGGAAAATTGTGAAAAGCTGATTGATCCAAATCAAGGTGGTACAAATCACGGGAGAAAATGGTGTTTGTATATTTTGTGCCACTTTATTAATCACACAGGTTTTGCTCAATGATCTGATATATCTGGCAATTAAAAATGGCACCGTTGGAAAGAGCATTCAATTCTGTCCAAGGTTCAGTCTTTATTTTTGCATGATGAGCAACAATATTCTTAAAAATGTAAATGTTCCAAACCATTACATTGTCATTTTTAGCAAAATTCATCGATGGCCCTCAAAAGACTTCACGCCAGTTTTCGAATCATTCTTAAGTGTAACGCATGATAATACGACACGGGCACCTCGATGCGATGTATCTTTTTTGTTTTATTACAAAATGCTTGACCGTCAAAAAGCAATCGAACGAAATGGATACCAACCAAATCGACACAGAACAACCCAATGCCCGCGGGTCACAAATAACCCTTCTTCGCGTTGCGGAGCACGCGGGTAACCCTAGTACCTACCTATAGTTCGTTTTTTTTTTTCAAAAGGACGCTGGCTCAAAGTTCAATATCGAAGCTCTCACGTGAGTTTGGGCAGCTTCAGTGTCTGGCCAATAATTTCTTACCGAAAAAATAATCGATTTCAAATTGTGCACGGTAAGTAGCTGGAAATTGTTTCTCAAAAATGAACATACTATGATGACGTCAATGGTGGCAGCAGGCACCCAAATGTCCGTGCAATGGGACAAGTGTCAACGAATTTGGGTTAAACATAGTTTTTCACTGTTGCCGAGCTAAAATCGAGTAAGCGGTTCCGTCCATGATAGTTATAAGTTACATTGCAATACATGTTCGACAGCATGACGTCACCACTGTTCTCATATCTGATTCCAAAACGCACATATGGAAATTATCGGGAAGAAATCACATGTTAAAATTAGTCGACGTTCGATTTTCTCAGGTTCAGTTTTTGCTCGTTTTGCTCGCTAAAACACGTGCTTGTTCGAAAAACATACTTGGAGCCAGCGTCCTTTTGAAGAAAAAAAAAACGAACTATAACTAAGATTTCTTTTATAATAATGTAGCGGCGCTGCTCCACCGCTGGTCAAGTGATATTTAGTGGTTGCGACTCACTGAAGTCGCGGCGTCAGCTGCGCGGCAGAGACGTATTTGCTTTTCACCGGCGGCGTGGTCGAGGACGCGCGAGCCCTCCCAGAAGAGGACCCCCTCCGGCGTGTCGCGGACAGCACGGCAGCGAAGCGGCTGACGACGGTGACAGGCTGGAGAGAAGTGGGACAGGTGGCGTGGACGGAGGCTGGAGTGGAGGCGAGGATGGAGCCCATCCTTCAGCCCCGTACCCCACCGTGGCTGCGACCCGCGCCGGTCACCTTTGACCTGGAGGCCGGGACGCGCCCACCACCTGGATCGCCCGCTGATCGCCGAAGACAAGAGGCTGCCCTCTGTCTGGCCTCCCTCCCCCAGTGTGCCACCTGGGTGTGGACGGACGGTTCAGCGGAGGAGGGCTTCAGGGACGGCGGCGCTGGAGCACTCATCGTGTGGCCGGACGACTCAACAGAAGAGCTCCGTGCCCCGGCCGGTAGTTTGTGTAGCAGCTACCGGGCCGAGATGGTAGCCCTCCGCACGGCCCTGAGACACCTCTTAGAACACCCGGCTCACGAAGATGTCCCCATCGTCATATGCACAGACTCCCAAGCTGCCCTGGCGGCCCTCAGAAGCGGCCCTTCTGAGCAACGGACCCAGCTCAACAGCGAAGTCTGGGATGCCCTCACCCTCCTGACAAGAGAGGGTGCTCGTCGGCTCCACCTTCAATGGGTCCCTTCCCACTGCGGTTTAGAAGGGAACGAGCGGGCCGACGTCCTGGCCAAGGAGGCGTCGGCGCTCCCGCAGGAAGAGGTCCCTCTCGATGTGAGGACCGTGCTGAGGGCGTCCGCCAGAGCAGCGAGGGCAAAAATCGGCAGACAACGCCCCAGCGGGTGGTACCGGGATCTGTGGGGCGAACGCCTGCCTCCACCTGCGGCTGATCTGGACCGCCACGCGGCTGTAGAGGTGCACCAGCTGCGGGCGGGCCACTGGTCGGGCTCCGCCCAGTATATGCACAGGATCGGCCGTAACCCAACGGTGGAGTGCCCTGGCTGTAATGACCATGGATGCCGGGCGGGACGGTGTCCGGTGTGTCGGGAGGAGGCGGACACGCCCGGACATGTTCTGCTGCGATGCCCTGCCCTGATGAACCTGAGGTTCCGCCTGCTGGGCACCATTCACCCGTCACACGAGGAGATTCGGAGCGCGGACGTCGTCGCGGCCCTGGCGGCCGCGACCAGACGACTTCAAAGCCGAGAGGCTTCGCGGCAGTGATCCTGCCGCCGAGGGGAATCAACAACAACAACAACAACAGGACGCCATTTTCGCTTTGGCAGTCATCATGCCATGAACAGAGTTTGGCACCCGGCCAGATTCGGGACAGAGTATGTATGAATCAAAGAATATTGTCGTTTTGTTACCTATTTATCAGCTTATGTTGTTACCTATGGATAAAATCTGTGATATCGTTTCCATACGTTGATTTCTCACGTTGATAACCGATTTACCTAATTTACCTATATTTCGGATGTTTTTCATGCTCATAAGTCACTTAGTGTTATGATTTATGTTCATATTTATGATGTGCGTTTCTTTCTGTGTGTTTCTCAGGTTTTCTACGTTACACCTGCGTTACACCTCCGTTACACCTGTCACCTACGCAGTTACCCAATAGAATCTGAAAACTAACAACCTGTTTACCTGCCAAAGCCGTATCAAATAATGTGATCCGCTGGTGAAGAATGGAGTTTGAGGACACGTACAATTTAATAAGTTCGATTAGGTATGATCGAGGAATAAGCCGTAAATGAATAGGCGGGGTATACGGTGCCGGCTCCGGTCACCAATCCTGCTTGAGTTCCGAGTTAAATATCCTGGCGGCTCCGACTCCAGTCTCCAGATAAAATGTATAGGTACCGACTCTGCTGGCGCTTGAAACTCCAGGTAAAATACACCTACCTACCTACCGGCTCCGGCGGCTTCGACTCGGAACAATGCATATTACCGACCGGCTCTGGCAGCCACGATGCCCGTTTCTTCCCTCAAAAATAGAAAATAAATCCATGCTGAAAATATAAGAAGCTAGGTCAATGCCATAAAACGACGACAACACAGTCAAACAGGGCGACGGACACGAATCGGAAACCGATCCTTGTACAATGATCTACATCGTTGTGCTACATCGGATCCGCGCGGCAATAAGGCGACGAGACATAAATGGTTATTGGGTATCCCAATTTATGTCATCCCAATTCATGTTAGCTGTTCAAGGAACGTTACCTCGCTCTCCTGTGAAGGAATATTTTAGAGAACAAGGACAATTGTTTGAAGAGGAAACAATAAGTGTGGCACATTATATACATGACCAGAGAGCCGTTGCACTCAGAGGCGGATCCAGCTTAGAGTTTTTTTTTTTTTGGCGGGGGGGGGGGGCAAACCATATTTATCGATTCTTTCCATGCCTCGTCCATAGGCGTAATGTTAAAATTATGCCGTTTGGGGGAGGGCAAATGCCCATTTTGCCCCCCCCCCCTGGATCCGCCACTGGTTGCACTGGCAAATAACTTCAATAATTTAAGATTATGATCATTTAAGTAGTGTCCCTAAATGAGAGTGTTTCATATTGTTTGTAACATATTGACTTTCATGGTGTTCCGTGTTTTTTTATACGATCTGTTCGCCAATGAATCTAACAATCACCGAATGCTGCTAATTTTCGGTCGAAAGCTGTTACATTAAACGTTTGGAGCATAGGCGGCGTAACGGGGGGAGGGGCACTGGGGCACCGTGCCCCCTTTGATTTTGGCATTTGAACATTAGCCCTATGGGCGTTACATGGAAAGAATGGGACCAAAAGTCGGCAGTGCCCCCCCCCCCCCTTAGTTGAAGGTGTTCCACCGCCACTGATTTGGAGCCAGCTTGAACTTATTTCTGAATCCGTTGAGTAAAGATATGAGCTGCGCTAGCTGCATTATTATGTAGGAATATAAATAGGCATGCTACTTCTACAAACGAGCTCATCAACAAATTGGCATAATAGGACAGTTTGTGTTTTAACATGATGTTTGAAGGCACGTCGTCGTATTTTGTTGCGTCCAAACAGAGGTTGCCCGTGCGCAGTTGTGCACTGTTATAATGGTTGTGAGCAGATGCCTAAATTAGGAAGGAACGAGCAGTGACTACGCATTTGAAACCAGCATTGAAACGCTGGGTTGTAACTTATGCCTCGAATTTTCCGTGACGATGATCCAAAGAGCAAAGGCACTTGGACCCGCACACATTTGACATTACCGTGAATTTTACCAACAACGACCGATAAAACTCGTGGTTTCCGTGAGTTGACAGAACTCACTACAGAGTTATACTCGCTCACCCTTCACAAGCTATTCGTTGACTGTGATGGTTGTGGCGCTTATCACGCACTTAGGCGTCGCGTGGCTAATAGTGAGCACTGAGCAGAGGGTCACACTCGCAGGGACCGTGTGTGCTGCGGCACAGCCTACCCTTCCAGGCAACTGGTGCTCGGTGAGAAACGTAACATCATTCTAATATGCAATCAACTCAACGGTACATGCAGTAGTATGCTGTATGAACGAGATGGGTGGACCAATAACTCTCCTTTGGTATCAATTTGGAGACTAGCAATGCATGCTAGCTGAAGCGAAAGCACTGGACAGCTCGTAACCAAACGCCCATCCATTCAAGAGACTGCCAGCACATTCATAGTCGGGCGTGACGAGGATATGCTCGATTATAACGGCTCTCCTAAATGCTGCCACACTCTGCAGTCAGAACAATAACTTCACCAGAAGCCAATGACAGGAAAAGGTAAACACAGGAAAAGGTCATGAGTGTCTGCGCCGAATCAGCGCTCATCGGTGATATTAATTCCTGCCTCCTGGCTGTACCTAGGTATCAGACCCATCTCATCTATTTGAATCCAGACTTGGTATCGGCCAGCTGGCGATATTTTTTTTTTTTAGAAATTTTGTCCGAATGGTTGAATGGGTGGCTTTGGGCCCGGGTGCCCCGCTAAGCAGTGCTTGTTGCGGATGACACCACGGACCCACCACCCGACCTCGCCCGCGCCCGGTTCACCGGTGATAATTTGGATCGAAAGTTTAACGTGCCGCAGGTAGATGACGACGCGGTAAACGATTTAGCATTTTAATCAGCTGTCGCAATGACCTTATAATGATATTAATTGCTAAGCAGACATCTACTTTGCGAGGTGTGATGGTGTGTTACCTTGATGTCTTTGTCGTCGCCCAATGGATAGCTTGATGCGAACTCGCTTGGGAAATTAACATGACTGTGATGAAGAGTAGGCACCTGCATCTGCCTACATAAAGGTATAAACAGTTATTTATGTTATTTATGTTTATATATTATGTCATTGCGATAAATCTGACCAGGATTTAGTAACAAAGCGCATATCCTACACTGCAAAAATTAAAACTTTATCCAATAACGACACTATTTACCTACGTAATGCAAAAAATTGTGATAAATGCACGGTCCGAACAGAGAATACCATTGTTAAAGTGACCCTCCCACCTTAACATTAGATTTGAGTTGAGATAGCCAAAATGGGGTCCCTGGCTCACAATTACCGGTTTCGGCACTCACAACATCGAGAGATGCCTTAAATCGGAAATATTGAATTTCAAAATTGCATCATTTGGATTCAGAGGGGCTAATGCTTTTGAATACCCCTCTGAATGTGTGACGGCAGCGCAGATCTAACGATTTTTAAATGTTTGACTAAAACGTTTTGTAGCACGCGGTGGTATATGCTGCTTTGCGCGCAACAAGTGCCGCACTTTCAGCTGCCAAACTATTGCTTCCAAATAAAGTCGCTAGGAACAGCGGAGATACCAAAAAGTAAACAAAAGTAAAAGTCTAATATCTTGAAAACCGGTGAATATTTTTCGGTGAAATTTGGTAGATATTCGTTTTCGCTCTTTCTGAACCGAGCGACATCACTTTCATGCCAATTCATCAACCTTTTTGAAGGTGGGAGGGTCCCTTTAATGTTTCCAACGTTTGTGAAAACGAACTTTTTCCATTGTAAACGGAGCAAAACAGTAAACACAAGTGCTGTAGATGTATGTCGCGGCATGAAATGTCTTTATTTTGAACAGTGACTCCCACACTCGCATGACAGTGAATGTCAAGTTTTTCATCGTTTTCACTAAACCGCAGTTTCATGCGGTCGTACTTCCATTCGTGTCCCAGGATGCATGACATGCAACGTGACTGCTGCATTACATGCTATGTAATGATCGATGTTCCACTGAAGCCCTGCATCACACGAACCACAGGTGACCTCTGCACACAATGGCATTTATAACGTTTCACGCCATTGCCAAAGCCGCGATGAGAACTTGGTTTGCCTAAGTGAAATGATGATGATTGGGGTTGGTGGCGTGCCCAGCCTCTGAGCTGTTATAGCATTGCATTGAGCATTGAGCTGTTATACCAACTATAAAACAAAGTTTAAGTTTGTTATAAGGTAAGTGTGATCGCGTGGAGTTATGGCTGTCACAAGGAATTGTGCAGTCATGGATTATGCTAGCAAATATCTTTTAGGCATTACTTGTCATGCCGCCACCGTTCCGTTAACTTTTATCCCAGTTCTCTACTCGAGCCAATCGGCCCAGCTGTCTTGCAAAAGCTGCGTTCGCCCACTAATGTAGACACCTTTTGTTTGATCCATGCCAATATTTTACATCTATGTAAAACGATCAATGCTTAGCAGTGCTATAATGTATCCATGTACGATCAATTTGGTGCAGCGAACAAACGTCCAAGTGCCGGGATGTTCGATTCATGAAGGCGGAACTGATGACCTGCAAGGAAACAGGATTTGTTATCGATATTTAGGTAGAATCAAGTACCTAACCAAAGAGCACACTACAGGAAAGTCAAGATGCTTCCCTGCTTTTACTGCAGCGTCAGTTCCGTTAAAACTGACGCATCCGTGATTGTAAATGCGCAGATGTTTGATCATGAAATGGTGACAGGAGTGAATCCTGACACGTGGAGATAGAGAGAAGTTGTAATCACGCCAGATAAGAGAACCGTTAAACCCAAAGGAATTCGCACACTGTGACTGCACTCGTGCAGATGTGCGAATAGGATTAAAACGATTTCAAGCGTAGGTATAACGGAAAGCAGCGAGTGTATTTAGATTGTGAGCTGCAACTTAGAATATATTTAAAAACGAAGATAAAGCATAATTTTAAAACGCGCAGCTTTATTTTCTTGTCGATGTATCATTTCATTTCCTTGCACCACCCTATTCCCTATTGCCATGCTGCAATTAGTTAACTGTACCTTGATACCGTCATCGAAAATGATATTGGGATTTGGCACAACATAATTCCTACCTAAGAAGGAACGTGTAACTGAAGGTCTCGACATAAAGCATTATTCTAAAGTAAGTCAAATGCCGGATTTCATCCCATGTTTGGGTTGCATTATTTGGCGCTGGCTCAGCACCAAACCTAAACAACAACACCTAACCCGACCTTACCTAATGTAGCCTAACCTTATCTAACCAATTTACTTTTCACATAACACGTAAGGCTAGGTCTAATGGTTTGATATGCTATGTAGGTGCAAGCAGGTTCAAGGTTAGGCATTTCATGAAATGCCGGATTTCAGCCGATGCCTACGACATATATATATATATATATATATATATATATATATATATATATATATATATATATATATATATATATATATATATATATATATATATATATATATATGTATATGTATATATATATATATATATATATATATATATATATATATATATATATATATATATATATATATATATATATATATATATATATATATATATATATATATATATATTTCGTCAGTAAATTTTAACGAGTGTCCCATTTCTCTATCGGCGAACTACCTACTCTGACAGACTCTGACATGCTGACATCGATATTGGATAAATCAGACTATTGGTCGTGTGCTGGTTTGCCTACCGGAGTTCTTGTTTCCTGAAGCTGTCAAACCAGAGGTGCCGCAAAGGTATCGACTATCGACCGAAACATATTCCCGACAATTTCTTGTGCGTAGTGGACGCTTCTTACTTCTTGGAACTAATCATCTGCGCTACGACGCTACCATCTACATCATGATGCTTTCCGGAGATGCTTTTCCGGAATCTGGGGACGTTTACCTGAGGTGACCCTCTCGTCAACAGCGTTCGGCTGAAGTCTCATGCAAGCACCACACTCCTGGTCCTGCGTCAGTCTAAGCTTTCTGTATTTATCGGCTAAACTTCAATCATTATCAACATCACCGTTGTCATCTGTTTTATTGGCCACATACACTACACCCACATGATGGAGAATCACGGTCCGAATATCAACTCTCAGATTATACCCGGATACACGACCGTCGACCACGATTATATACCAACCATGCACATGCGTCATCTCGAGTGCCTGCAAGCACGCGCGATCACTGCATGATTTTCGACGTCCGTCGCGTGACGTGACTCACCTCGCCCAGCTCACCAGGGGGTATTCATACACCCCGGGCAATACAACTCGCGGTAATCGGAAATACCATATTTCCATTCACGAACGGTACCTCAAATATCTATCTTTATAAACGTATTTTCATGGCAATGCGACCAGACAAGGTCACCGTCTTTGTCGACCGTTAATCAAAACTAACGTGAATTAGTGATCACACACAGACGAAGGCTGGGGTAGAGGAATGACCCCGAGTTCCCCCTTCGTCGCAGAACACCTCAAATCTTCTTTGTGCTGCGTTTCGCCGGAGCCTTTCTCTTTGTATCAGGCTGATCGGGATGGCGGAGGTTGCGGTATTTAGCTCCTTGGGCGACCACGAAGCCGAGCACGAACTTCCGTGCTCAGATCGTCTTTATAGTCATTTGCTGTCCAAACTTTGCCATATCGCCGCATGTACTTAAGAAGCGACCGAACGTCCTTGTCTTGGCTCATGAGTTTCGTGTCGCAGACGATCACCAGCTGTCGCCGGGCGCGGGTGATGGCTACGTTGATGCGACGCTTGTCTGTTACGAATCCGAGACCTTGCTTCTTGGAGATGACCAGGGTCACTATGATGGCCTCCTTTTCGCGTCCCTGGAAACCGTCAACGGTTTGGACGTCCACCTCCCCCAGATAGCGCCAGCATAAAAGGTCAAGCACACGGGTGCTCTGTGCGCGGTATGGTGTGATCACGCCTATCTGCTTAGGGGGCACACCGGCATGCACCAGGGCACCCACGTGCGCTGCCACGATCTCGGCCTCACCGTGGTTGCTTCGTGAGCCGGAGTAATCAGGTCTGGCCTCGGTGAGCCCGTAACCGGCCGTGTCGATGAGCACCAGGGTATGCTCCGTGTCCTCCGTGAGGCGCACGCGGGGCAGATCGGTCAGACGGTGGTGGCGCACGACCGGCGCCGCCCTCAGATGGCCGCCGTAGTACTGCTGCGACGGCCACTGCTGGATCAGCTCGTGCATCCGGTACTGGGTGCAGAGCATGCGTATGACCTGCGCTCCGTGCAGCTTCACCTGACGCTCCATAAGGGAGACTTCCAGGCCGCGGCACGCCGCCTTTTGACTGATGATGGTCGGAGGCAGCTGGTGGTAATCGCCGGCCAGCAACAGCTTCCCGGTCCGTTGCGCTGCCAGCCAGCAGGCGGCCTCCACCGACTGGGAGCACTCGTCGATCACCACCAGGTCAAACGCACCCAGGCCTCGACGCCCGGGTGCTCCCAGCAAGCCATCTCTGCTGGCGTTAGCAAGTGTGCAGAGAACAACGTTGGACGTCTCTATGGCCAGTTTCCTCAGTGACCTGCCCCTTTTACCATGTCGGTGGCCTGCACTGCGACCGAGAGTCTCAGTCACTCTGTCAAGCGAAAAGCGGAGCAGAGATTCCCTGATGCGGGCTGGATGTCCGAGACGTACCATGCGGAGGTCAAGGTTGTGGAGGGAGTTTTTCTTGGATAGTCGTTCGAGAATGTTGTCCACGGCCGTGTTGGAATCGGCGCACGCCAGAATGCGACAGCCCATCTTCAGATGCTGCAGGATGATCTCGACAATGGTGGTGGTCTTTCCGGTCCCGGGAGGACCGTGGATGACGGCCAGATGCTTCTGACGGACAGCGAACTCCACCGCGTCGCGCTGAAGTTGGTTCAACTCGGTGCTGTGGAAGTCCAGTCTTCCGTTTGCGTTGATAAGCTTCGCCGGCAGTTCAGCTGAGGATTCTACCGGCCACTCGCCGAACAGAACTGCTCGCAGTCGGCGAGCTCTTCCAGAGATGCCATCCAGCCCCCTCACGATGCTACGCATCTTCCTGTGCATTGAATCATCGTCCAATCTTTTGATATCCACAATCGTGTCCGGGATGAGCTCTCCACCATTATCAATGACTATGAAGATCTCATCTTCGGTGACCTTGTACACAACGGCCGTCTTGGTCACGCCGAATTCCTCTGGTTCCGTACTAAACACCTCTATTGGCTCACGGTCGCGAATGTTATGCCTGAGAGGTCTTCCGTTCACGGCCGGTACGCCCGGCCCGTTCTTAGTTCTGTTGGTCAGCCGGAGCACCCACAGCTGCAGTTCGTTGGGCGTCAGTTCCGTCCTGTCCACCAGCAGACCCTCCAACTGGCCCAACGCAGCTAGCTGCTGTTGACGTTGCAGCACGGCAACGTGATCCCAATCCAGTAGTTGCAGATGCAGCCGCTGCAGCTCCTCGCAGGTGAGCGGAGATGACGGCAACTTCTGTTGTGACAAGAAACGAGGAGATTAACTCGCGCCCCACCTGGACTTCCACACCCTGCTGAGGGGGGGGGGTTGAACACCCCCTTCTAACTCAGCTCCTGGGCCGCGTAGCGATACGCAGAAGGGGGCGTTCGAAAGAGCGCCAAAAATGATGTCGAAATTACTTCAGTCACTTTTTGTTCAGGTCAAAGGTCAGGTCACCAGATGTCATTATTGAAGGCAAAATTTCGCCGATTTTCAGGTCGAATGTCGACAATTTCCAAGAAGCCAACGCATAACTCGGGAACCATAAGAGCTAGAGCGCTGCGGAAAAGCGCATTCGATAGCCCTATAACGCCCCTTCTGAAAAATTCTCTCAGATTTGACCTAACGTCAACGGTTTTGCCGGCGGGGGGCAAAAACTGCCAAAAAAGCCGATTTTTTTCGGAAAGTTTTTCTGCAATAACTTATGACTCAAGCCTTGCGCGATGCTACTTTTGCCAACATCGTGTTCCACTCGTCAAGACCCATCGAATGAACTATAATTTGACCTTGAAAGGTCAACTTGAAAATTTGACCTCTGGTCAAGGTCATGACCTGACTGTAATTGGTCGAGTTGCGTATCAGTCGATCCGTATCGTCGAGCTGGACACATCTAATGCATGTTCACTTTTCATCGCTCTAGCATGCCTCTATCAAAAGGTAGGTATTTGCGAAAAACTGTTAGATAGCATTCGTGAACTGAGATGACCTCAGGGGCATAAACAGGGGCCACTGACACCATTTTCATGTTCAGTGTGCCTAAGTTACTTGTAATTCAGTGTTTGGGAGTGTTTTTAATGGCTTTCGTCCAAAAGCGGCGCATTTCAATTTTCTTCCATTGACTTATACATAATGGGGAGGTCGCAAAATTGACCTGACCTTATGGTCATCGATACCAAAATTCTGATATATAGATTTTGTACATGCTATTGCTCTTAGCAATCGATGAAATTTCAAAGCGATCATTTACTCGTTGACTTGTAGCTATGGGAGACATTGATATTTTTATGAGGGGAGATAACGTCAAGTGACCTGATGACCTGACCTTGAACGAACTTTATGAAATTTTCACATGTGTAGAATTGATATAGATAGATAGATAGAGAGATAGATAGATAGATAGATAGATAGATAGATAGATAGATAGATAGCTACAGACAGACACAGACAGACAGAGACAGTTGTAAAGATAATAAGGGCGTAAGGCAAAGGAACATAAAACTCGGTCGTTCATGGGAAAGGGGCGTTACAACCGAAGTTTTCGTACACTTTGGCGAAAAAACATAACTGCGTGGCATTAATGTGAGGTCTAACTTACGGAGCCTATTCTAACCTATCCTCCTTGTGTTTCGCACGGCGCACCTACTGTGCCCACTGGTTCCTGGGATTAACCCTCGCATGTGTGCGGCGTTTTCCAGCTTCTAATGTGTAGGGGGGGGGGGGGTCGGTTGGACCCCCCCTTGCCGTTTGGCCCCTGATCGAGCTAGAGCTTCGCGGAAAAAACGAGCGTGTTGCCCGTGACGAGAGGAAGCCGATGATACCCAATTTTAAGGTCCTAGGTCATTGGTTGACCTTCCAGGTCAGGTCAATGACCCAAAGTCGGGAAAATCGGGACCTATTAGAAAGTCGTAAAGTGTGGCTGCTAAGGGGTTTTTCGGGGTGCTGATCACGAATATCGTGTTAGTTTTGATCACAGATGATGTCTTTAAGCATTTAGACCAAGTCGGGTCAGGTCAGGTCAGGTCAACCAGTAGGCGTCGTGACGGGTATTCGTAGTACGTGTCAACCGCCTCTGACAGCTTCGTAATATGTTACGAAGGCACCAAAACTACTTCGTAAATGTTCAAATGGTCGCTAAATTCGAATTCAGCTCCAAAAACTAGCCTAGAAACATGTAAAACTCGAAAAAGTGAACCGAGGTCACCCGAGGTCACCAAAGGTCAATGGCCTGACCTGACCTTCAGGTGACCTTGACACCCACCCTAATGCATGGGAGCAACATCAAATCACATCTTTGAACGTTTGAAACCACGAAAAGCTTGCAAACACGCGGCTAATGCGAGCCGACGTACGCCAAATCGCGATTCCGGCCAAACATGGTCTCGGAAAAGAGGTCACAGGTCAAAGGTCATTTGGGTCAGGGTCATGAAATTTTCAGGGTAGGTGTAAAATTGATCAATGCGAGGGTACTGAAAGTTTCGTCGCGATCGGCCGCTTTTTACGCGAGTTATTCGCGAAAAACCATGGGGGGGGTCCATCCGACCCCCCCCCCCCCTACACATGCGAGGGTTAATCCTCGCAAGTAGGTAACTCCTGTTTTCAATTCCTTTGCATTATTTCATAAATGGAAGATTATTAAAAATAAGCAGTTCAACACTGTAAATGAGTATACAATTCTGAAAAAGTGATTTGTAACATATCTAAAAAATGCCCCTAAATGCCACCAACATAGGCATGCCTTTTCTAACATCGCAGCCCACCTGGTAAAAAAAAAAAATGTTCCGTGCCATTTCCTTACCTGCCCTACACCAGGAAACTAAATGTTATGCAGTATTACACATACTAAGCTAATCACTAATCAGTACCCTCAGATGCGGGCAGGTAGGTTAAGGTACCTACCTCCTACTTCAGAGGTAAGACAAAAAATTTACCTTTGTGCCGCCGCTAGGGCCGTCCGGCTGTGAATCAGTCATCTTGCTAACTCGGACGGCGTAGGTGCTTGTTCGGACGATATTTTATTTCCATGCGATATTTGGACTCCACACTCAGTCAGCGATCCATCTGCCCAACTTCTAGCTTTTGAATGCCATACTCCCAAATGGAGAAAAGTAGCCTTGTGAAGACCAACTACAGGTGCATCGCTATACAGCGTCAGTCACCAAATGTCAATGATCAATGATGCCATCTGTATCAATCTCTTCGAGAACCTTTTTATCTCTCTGACCCTTGCCGTCACGGCGGCACTGATAACGGCCATGTCACGGCGCTATATCTGTGATTCACTGATAGGCACTCCAGCTGTTCAGCACACACCCGAAACGGCCCGTGCACGAGGACAGGTGCTATTCCAATCGGTGAAGGTCGCGGTCGGCTCTAACAAGGGTCATCCGCCATTCCATCCACGGCTGTCATAAGATATACGGGCCTCGCAATAGGGGGAGGAGTTTAAAAGACGGTGATGGTCTTCCAAAGATTCTTAAAAAGGACGCCTGGGCTTAGTATATTTATTATTAGTATTCCGACGATGCAAGGTCTGCGTCTCAACTGAACAACTTAAAATAACAGTCGTACGTGGTGAGTTGTGAGCTGTGTTCGGTAATCTGGATCACAGTGGCCGAGAAACCTTATCGATACCTACAGGCTTCGATCTCTACCGATTTCCCTGGGTGCTGTGTGTGTGGGGGTGGGGGGGGGGGGCAAAATTCTCCACACAAGACCACTCTGAAGTGTTTATCGTGATGCAGAGCGTATCGAACGGGATGTGACGGGGCTCCACCAGAGACCGGCCGTCTGAAGTGCAACACACGGAGTGGTATCAGTACCTACCTACCTACCGGTGGTATGTGTGGGGGTGACACAAGATGAAACATGTGTTGCTGACAAGGCGCTATAGGCTCTTGATACTGACATATGTACATACTTAAAAGCTATGCAGAGCCCTCACTCATGACGCATCTTACAAATATTTGCCAATGTCAAGTGACTCATCACAAGTGACAACTGACACATGATATGTGAGGCGCAACACCAAAAATCAACTACGCAAAGTGTGGTAGTAAATGTGTCTCTAAGGATTCGGTAGCTGCTTCGATAGATCCTTACACTCACATATATGTTCGACCACTCGGGCATGTGCATTGTGTAATCCCAGAGGCACTTTTTTATAGAAAAATTACCCTTTTGCTAGCAATTCCAAAACATGGTCCACATACGCTAAAGCAGGATGGATCCTCGGAAATACACCTTGGCGCCGCTAACACTCTTCTTGCATTGTGGTGTTTATTATCACAAAGCAAGACACCGAAATGTAAAAATAAAATAGTCATGCCCGCCGTGAATTCTTATGCGACAAGCCACAGCGTCACGAGCAGCACCTTTCCACAGAAGATGTCAAGGAAATCCGATGAAAAGGGCTCATGCATTATGCGATTACAGCTAAGAAACATAGCAAACTTTTCCTGTTGTTTTATTTAACGAAACCAACACTTCCGACGGCGAGTGACAACGTAAACAAATGCATGGTCAGTCAAGAGTCAAGACTACCAAGAAAGTAGTAGTAGGTAAGCAAGGTTTTTCTGTTTTTTCTTGCGCGACAGACCTCTGATGGATAGAAGTCCATAGTTGCATTTATTTTTACCGGAAACATACAACATCGCGCATAACACATGCGATGGTACCTTCCTGCGTTTTAAAGGCCTAAAGATAGGTATCAGGCGCAGGTGACTTAAACTCATGGACTCATAGCGGGCGAAGATGACTTTAACTCATGAACTCATACCTAATCACAATAGAGACCATTTCATACCTACCTACATGTAAGGCATCGATTTATGAATGCATGTTCAATATCCGAAATGGACATAACTATATTTTTTTAGAAACACAACGCATTGACGTTAATTTAAATATTTAATTGTCATCATTTAAGAAGGTTACCACTTCATGGAAGTGTTTGACGGTGAGCGGGTTAATAAGCCATGTTAAACGTAAAACCTGCCAAAAAGTTTGTTAAAATAAATGTATTCGTTATGTTCAACAAATAATGCACTGAGCTAAACAAACAATACAATTTCCAGAACGCAAGGAAGATCTCGACGACTTAAATAACGATGTTTGTACCCTTGCCTAATAGCAACGACAGGAAACAAAATCGCAATAATCTGAAGCATCATCTGTCACTTCTGTGACACTGAATGCCTACAACGAACAGGCGAGTGCAGCATTGCATCATCTCCAATATCATAATTGTACTTCTTATCACTTTGACGTAGAACATAAGACTCACTATCGTCACCATCTGTTAGTTCAACGTCACATGTCACTTTCAGTCACGGTGGGCCAGTTCGCCCCGTTACAAGCTTCCCGAATTCGATCACAGCCGACGTCGTGGTCGCAGCCGGTTAGGATAAAAACCCTGTCACAACCTGGATATCACCGACGCCACAGTCGCGCCCGCTTCAGGTAACCATGTTTCCACTGTCGCTACAGTCGAATCTGGTGAAGACCGATGGTGTGCGCCTGTCGACTGGTGACCACACAACAGAGGTCGGTGAGGTCGAGACCGAGCACCGAGGATAGCTCGTAACCCTGCGACAGAGGGGGAAAGTGCTTGAAAAAGAGAAGGGAGTAGCCAGCTATCACGTCATTTTTTTTTTAGTGTCAGCAGCCGTTCGATTGCTGGTAAACATAAACTAAATTTATATATATATATATATATATATATATATATATATATATATATATATATATATATATATATATATATAATATATATATATATATATATTTGAAAGAGATTATCGAACGGCATTACTATGCCATGAAACCTCGCCGTCAGCTAAAATTCAGTTACTTGCAAAATAAACTTCAACAACTGAGATGTTCGCACGAAACTTTATGATTACGGCGCTATTGTTCAGTCAAAATCCGATAGAGATAAGTGCTCACTGTCAGTCCGAGAAACGGATGAATAATAACATTGAAGATGATTTCATGGTACACGCGTAGATAAAAAATGTACCCATGGGTACGTAAATAGAGCTTTAAGAAGCGCGTTTAATAATATCCCGTCGCTCCCTTTCGATCGCCAGTACTTACATTAATCCGTGGTGATAATTATAACTGAAATATGACTAACTAACTAATAGTCCGTTATCTTGCGCTACATATCTTATCCATGCACAGACGCACTATCTTATCCATGCACAGCCGCACTATCTTATCCATGCACAGACTAAGGTTAATGCTATAACTACTGTTTTTATTGTCGTCAGACCATATATCAACCCATACCTCAACCACTTCTAGCTGTCAAGTGCAAACCTTCGAGACCATTTAAATCGACCATCAAAAACACGCCTGCCGAGGACTGCATGCCGTGCACTCCTGGGTGCATATGGCCTTTTCTGTCAGAAAAAAACGAACTAACCACCATGCGCTATCATTGGAACTATAATGCGTAGGCGTGTGCTAAACCGGTCGCGTAAATGCCCAACCACAATCGTTGACATAATAGCGCGTGCAAACCTTTTCATTTCGAAGATAATTTTTTAGAAGAATTGCGATGGAAATGTCCGGGAAATATCGACGGTACACACGGTAACGCTCTACCTTTACCATTAAAGATCATAACGATTACATTCCAGCAAAAGCCAACGCACGAAATGACACCCTGGATCCCACAACTAATTGGTATACATATGCATTATGCAAGTTAAATACATTTGTCTGGCTTCGATGCATACATATTCGGAAAGCCTGCTCGTGCACGAGGTAGTCGCCGGCCGAGCCTTGTTTTGGGGCAGCTGACCCTCTGTTTTCGGTCATTAGATATGTGACTAAGCCGATGGCGACAACGGTAAATGATTCTTAGAACCTACCCTGCTATAGAAAGCAAGGAAAAGATGCATCTCTGTAATTAATATAACTGGACTACCGTGTTGATTATCATTCAGGGCGTTTGATGTCTAAAGGCAGCCTGGTCAATTAGTCGCAATGGAAGATTGAAAAGATCAACATCTAATGGTTCTACCGACCAACTGACAGGCTCAGCTCAACTTCCGAATAGACCTGAGGTCATCAGCCGGAAAGCTCCTTCGATCTATTGGATATCATTTCCTGTGTCGTTTGGCGGTCGTAATTGTTCCAGAAGGTAACCTTTCCGGCCGAGCGAATAGAACGGCCACTGGTGCGAACTGAACTAGACAAAAGGACCTAGCTCTATCGGGCGAGTCTTTACAATAAACTGCCGTTAGTATCAACTTCAAAACCGCCCTGGAGGAGCACTGCCCGGGAGAATGTTGACAGGTTGTGCCCTTGCAGTATGTTTGATGTTTACAGGGCGATGAAAATTGAAATAGGTGTGCGGCAATGTGTGATAAGCTCTACAATCTACACTGTTTGACCTGTTTGATGAACCTGCACGTGAAAAGTCAGGTTTTCTACAGATGCCTTACTAAATATAACCTGAAAACGATTCCGAACTGACCCGGTCGCAATCTTGCATGACCTGTGACCTCTCCCAGTCAACTGACCTGGTCGGGGTCGCCCGATGACCGTCCCAGCAGACCTTCTATCGTGCTCTGTAAGAGCTGCACGAAGACTCGACTCCGACCCAGGCCAGGGCACGCTACCTCCACCTGTAGACAAGGGTACCGAGTTGAGAGAACGAAGGATGGTATGGAAGTGGGAAGAAACACACAGGGCTAAACAGGCAAAACTATATTCTGAATCTGGATTAAACCATCCAGAAAACTCATGCGCATCAGGAAAGAAACTTCGGTGTTTTCATGACAAATAGTATACCAAAGAACGCCGTGCAGTCATGAAAGGCAAGTGAAAGGCAGATGCCAGAGCTAGCACGAAACAAAGATCACAACCACAACCTCAAGTTCAACCAGGACAAAAACAATAGACGGATATGGTATGCCTCAAGATTCATGTCATGTCAGAATCGGAGCACGAAAGACGTCGTTAAAAACAGTCCAGCGCTGTCCGCAGTAGCGTGACTGCTGGACGTTCGCCGACAAAGTGAACCGCAGTCGAGGATGCACGCGAGACGGGACAGGAAATTTTGCCGCTGCTTGACGGAGACTAGCCCGCTATGGGACAAATATCGCAATCGAATCGCAACGCCCACGCCCCACACTGTAGCTGATTTTACAGATAGCCGAAACTCCGCGACAGTCATGCCTGGCATGACTCATAGCTCACCTTCAGTTCCATTCTGTTGACAACGGACGGCGGCGGTAGGCAGCAGAAGTGACACAACTGGCCGCTAGATGTCTCTGCCAGATCATCGGAGCCGCACTCAGAGCAGGCCGGCCAGACGGACGCACACTGCTCGTCCACGCCTGCCACCTGACCTGAAACAACCAAACACAGCACAGCGTTCGGACGCCAGCAGCAAACCTCAAAATCCAACGTCGAAACAAAGGCATATAAGGAAGTTTAGACACCAAGACAAAGACACCCGACTTTGATTGACTTTCGATGATTTTCATGTCGACTCACCGGACACATGCACCAGCTGGTCGGGCTGGGCGGCCGCCGTCAGGGGCGGCAGGGGTGTCCCTGGGGGTGGCACGGTCACCGCGTCCCGCCGCTCCACTGACGAGTACCTGCGAAAGGTGTATCGCTGTTAAGGCGAAAACGTCCGAAAAACTGCAGATTTTTATGCAAAAATTGCGCTTCCTTTACCTACCCTTCAAGTGTAAGATAAATATGGATGCATGTAAGCATATATTCCTGGAACGAAGAGCGGCAGTAGCGGCAAAGGCTCACTGGTTTTGGCGGCTGCCTCCACAGTTCTCATTTTCACGAGTCTTTGCCCACTCGCCGATGTCTTACCTATCCACCGCCATCCGTGCGTCCCTCCTCCAGACATGTCTCAGCAGGGCCGTCTGACCGGGTAACATCATCAGCGCCGCGTCTGACTGCAGCTCTAGCCTCAGCGGACCGTCAGCTGTCAGCACCAACACAGCGCCGTCCAGGGGGGCCAGCAGACGGCAGGCCAGGTCCAGGCGGCAGTCCGGGGCAGCGGGAGCTGGCGGCCCGCCCTCCCCGGTCAGTGTGGAGTAACACCAGGGACTGGGGTCGCACGGACCCCTCTCCGTGGGGGACGGAGGGTCTCTGGGAGACCGGGGGAGGTTCTCAGTGATGACTGGCGGGTCCTGGGCAGACCGGGGGAGACCCCCGCCAGAGGACGGCTCGGGGAGGAGGCCGGGGTCACCGCCGGCCGATACGGTCCTCCCCGGCAGTTCGGTCAGCTGGCTGTCGTTGGACAGCGCCTGGAGGATGTAGGTAAAGCCGGGGTCGGCGCCGCCCGTCAGACGGACCACAATGCTGGCCAGAGCCGGATGCCTGCGGAGGACAGAGGTCACAGAGAGGTCAGAGTGGTACGGCAAGTATACCACCAACTCATTGCAAGCATCATTCAATGCTTATCTTTACATCATAGAGGATACACGAGGCAACGCCTAATAATGCAGTGAACAAAATTGTTCGTACACTGTGCTTGATATAAAGGTCATTTGATGATCTTACTCTCGTGGTCACTTAGACTGGATAAAACAACTGCCGCTCGACTGGTCTCTTACCCTACTTTCACTGGTGTCCTGGCCTCTCGGCTCTCCCTTATTCTTTCCTCTCGCTCACGGACTACCTGTGTTCCCATTCGTTCGCCTTTCCCCTGACTCACTGATCACTGGTAGTCCTCTCTCTGACTACCAGTCCCGTCAGCCGCAGCCGGGTCCCAGACCGGACCAGCGTCCTGTACCTCCTGACGAGAGGGGCGGGCACCACCACCTCAGCCACCGTACCGGCCCCGTCCCGCACCAGTAGTGACCAGCACCAGTCCTCCTCGGGACCGTCAGAAGTCTGACTGTCGGCCGGACATCTGACGGGCGGAGGGACAGGTCAGAGGTCAGCGTGACGAAGGGAGGGGGTTAGTTGACGGGCGAAGGTGAACGTGAGAGGAGAGCTGAAGGCAGACAGGTGACGACGTGAGACAGGCAGGTGACGACGTGAGGCAGGCAGGTGTGTGACGAGTGGTGATATGTACACGTTTCCTCATGGAAATATAGTGAGGAAATGTCAGAGCCATTTTACACTGCGTAAATACTCCTTTTTAAAACTGAGACTTCGCTAGCAGACACGTGTAAACTGTCCCACGACATAAGGTCGAAAACTTAACGCTTACATAACTATAAGAATTGAGGACTAATTGATGAACTCCAGCACACCTGTACTGACAGACGTGCAGAACCGTCGCGTCGATCGTGTTCACGACGTCACCGCCGCAGCCCAGGGCGGAGAGGATCGTAGTGTCATCTAGCGGACAGTCTGCAGATACTGCTTCACGGACGGTCGTCAGGTGGCTCTGGGTGAGCGGCTGCCGGGAGGGTGAGACGGTCCGTGGAAACGGACGGAGACACTGGGCGGGCAGAGGAGCGTCTGAAAAGAAAACACATCGATCCTTGTCAAACAAACCAATCGCCATCACCATTTCCAAAAGCTAGAGAAAATGAATGCACCATACCTACCGGTCGGCGTTATCAGGTATAACGTTGAAGCTGATCTATGATGGCGTCGCTGTAAGTAAGTCGACTGGCTACGCAAATTATCACAAATTTACTGTAAAAAAAAAAAACATGATAGCCGAACATCCCTAACAGCATTGGCCTCGTAGCCTCAGGCATCCGGCATCCCTCCATCTCCTATGTTTTCTCAAGACCTTTTGACTTACCGTCGGGACAGGGACAAGTGAGCTCCACGAATACGACTGGCGGGGGCGGGGGCGGCGGGCCCGGCTCGACGCTAGCGCCGCCTATCGGCAGCAGCACCGGAGGGCCCTCAGACACCTGGAGACGCTGCCTGACGGGGAGCAGAGGGGTACGAGTGTATTTAAAAACAGCTGCAGTTAACTGCAGGTTAGACGAGCCAGCTAACACAACTGAAAAATATTTCGACAGCTAGCTAGGTCTAGAGACGCTGTACCTAGACAATAATAATAGACACACTGAAAATATTGGCGAGACTGAAGATGGATATAGGCCAATAAGAACTCTAATTTTGCCATCAGATAAATGCAGTTCGTAGTTTTAATGTCTAGTCTCGGATCCCACTAACCAGGGCGGGTGGAGCAGCAGAGTGTCTCCAGCGCTGACCGCTGGTAGGTCAGCACCATTGGCAAGCAGCACTTGCACCGTTCCTTCTCCGGGGTCATCAGAGGGCCGGCCGGGGTCACCAGAGGACCGGCCGGGGTCACCAGAGGACCGACTGGGGTCTGCGGTCCTCCCCAGCACCATGCGGGCGCCGACCTGACGCTCACAGCGCTCGACAAACACACGCAGGCAGCCCTGGCGGATAGACAGACATAAGTGGGAGGTAGATCAGCTGGATGTCGTGGTAGCTCGTCATATTTTGTGTTGGATAAAGCCATTCAAGAAAACTTTTCATTGCGACAAAATATCAATTGATCTTCCTTTCAAGATCTTAGTGCTATGAATAAAACATTGAAACATGTAGTGCCAGTTCTATGAGGTCAAACAAGAAAAAGTAACAATTCGCTGAATAGGAAATTGGAGACAGGTTTGGGGTTACCACATTTCACAAGAGGTCCATGCAAATGAAAACACTTCTTACAAGCATTATAAAAAAGCAAAACAACCTTCTATAAAACCTTAATCCAGATTAGCCTCATTAGCCAGCTAAGCCCTTTACCGTCTATCTCAGCTCCATCCTCCGCACTTATACCTGATCGGGGGCGCCGCCGGTCCTATGCCGACTCATCCTGACAAAGGCACCGCTGCGTTTCAGCACCCTGCGCAGCCGCTGTACCAGACCACGGCGCTTCGGTGGCAGCTTCCTCCCTGACGGCGGCACCTCCGGCTCGGCGGCTGTCTTCTCCGGGGTGACTTCAGAACGGCGCAGCTGACGCACAAAGTCCGACGCGCGGCGGTCGGTTGTCTGCGAAGAACCAGAGATGTGATAGTGTCTGCTAATGATAGCTGTTGTGTACGATAGGTGACAGAGAATGGCGAAGCCAACTAGACGAAAACGAGGAAAATAAGGCAAATCACCACTTGGTGCTCACTTTTACGAGCATATAAATGTTACGGTGGTGCGAGAGATCATACAAAAGATTGCTTATTTTGCAATGCCTCTACGCTATTCCAGTTCCGACTCTCTTAAATATTATTAGTGACTAGTGGTAACTTTATTCTCAACAATTATTTATCTACGCTCTAGCTTATTACCCAACCATTCTCTCTGCCGGTCCGGCCCCACTCACCACCGCCTGCGGCACAGTCCGGTCGGCTCCGGTGACTGCTCTCAGCCAGCGGAGCCGCTCCTGGCTGGACACAGTCGGCACCGGCTCCGGCTCCCGTCCCGGGCCGCTCCGCAGCTCCTCGTCGACCGAGAGCAGCGTGCGGCGCCGTTTGGTGGTCTGGGCGCTGTCACCTGAAGGGTGCCGGCACCGGGATCCGCTGGAGCCACCGGCCGGTCTCCGTGGTGTAGAGACGTGAGAGCGATCACCACCCGTCCTGCTAGTTTCGTTTGTGGTGTTGGATGTCTCCCTTGAGTTTTCAGGGTTACGAGGATTGTTGGGAGATTCATGAGAAGGTTGCCTTGGTAGCTCAGATGCCATAGAAGAGCGGACTCCAGCAGAGGCTGCACGGCCCGCGGACGGGCCTGGCACTCCAGTCGCTCTAGACGCCTCAAAGGCAGGGAACAGCTGCCTGACGGGACCCGGTCGGCGGGGAGCCTTGTCCACCGACCGGCGGGTCACCGCTGGGCTGACCAGAGCAGGATCTGGAGCACACAGCGGCGTGACGTCCTCCACTCTGGAGACGGCGACAGCGGCCGGCCTGACACCCATCGGAGTCTCCTCGGTCCGGTCGGTAGACATACGGGTGGCATCATCTGTTCTGTGTGCCGCAGACCCTGCCCCGGAGGCGGAATTGGTTCTTCCTCTACGTCTGCGGCGACGCTCGATTACCGGAGAGGAGCCTGCCGAGGACGGTCCCTCGCCGACCGTCGTCTTCTGAGCGAGGCGCGGTTGGATCTCCGGCTGGGTGTGTTTAGACGACGATGGAGCAGATTTGGATTCTCTAGAAGTCATCAAAGACACACTGGTGGTGCTCTTGGGCTTCTCAGTAGCACATTCAGTAGCACATTCAGTGGCTTGTTTGGCCACACTAGGGGATGCGTCTTCCGACACTTCGGTAGCACTTTTAGCTACACTAGCGGCGGCATCGGACACTCGTGTATCATATTTCGACACATCTGTGATCTGCACTGTCTCGGTTGCCGGCCGGAGGCGCCGTGTCGGCCTCAGGACCGGGGAACGGGAAGGGCGGAGCACCGGCGACCTCTGTGTGCCGAGCACCGGGGACAAACGCGGCACAGGTGGCGGTGAGTCTTCCAGCTCCGAGCCGGGCGAGGAATGGCGACCTGATTGGGTCTGAACAGACTTGGCGGATGCTGCAGCTGCATTGAAAGTTGGTACTGCAGTTGACCTTTTCTGGGCAGCAGCAGTCCCAGAAGTAGAGGTAGTTTCTGTGGCTGACTGATGGAATATTCTTCTGGCTGCTCTGGAAGTACCAACACGCTGGCCATCTGTCTGCCTTGACGAGGTTGCCACAGATGGTCGATGTAACACAGGAGATGGAGCGTTGGGATCTGGATTGGGAAGAACACTACTCAGAGCTGGCTGAGCTGCTGCTGGAGGTCTGGAGTAATGAGAGACACATACTACTGGAGAGTCTTGTGAGGGATCCTGCACCAGCTGTGAGGACTGGAGTGCTGGGGACGAGTCCTCAATGGAAGGAGGGAGGATTTCCTCATCAGATCCAGGAGCTGGATTGTGGCTGACTGGAGCAGGCTTTGACACATGAGCAGGAGCTTCAGCTGCTCCTGATGATTGAGAAGATCCCTGTGTCTGTGACCAAGAGATGCAGTCAGCCAGCTCATCACCCTCTGCAGCACTGCAGACTCTTCCAAGCAGATCAGTGTCCAGTCGGTGGAACCCTGGCACACTCCTATTGAACATGGTCCCTGAAACACACAGAGTAAAGTTTTGACAATCTTGAAGTTAGATCAGTTACAATGAATGTAGGTACGTACTTAGGTACGCAACTACTCACACTCTTGACTGGATAAATTCATATCATGGCATTGGTGCCTGGTGGTCATAATACTGCATTTATTTTAAGCTATCTATGCTGGCAGTCACAAAATGGTGTTGAATGGGAACAAATAATATTCCTTAGACGTTAGACCTTTAATGCTTTGCAGTCTGCACACATAGGTAAAATATACACAGCCTCAGCTTGCAATCACACACTCACACTGCATACCTAGGTATCAATATAGGACCTGAGGCCATTGTTATAAAATACAATTGAACTATACTATCTATTGGCAGCAAAAAAAAATTGAGCCAAATAAAACGGCTTCTCATTATCATAAAACTACACGCATGGTTAATGGGAATGCATCCGTCAGCGCCTTTTTTGGCTCAGAATTAGGAATAAAACTCACAGCCAGCTCAGATTCTATTTCATAATAATGGCCTCTGGCCTGTGAACAAAACAAAACAAGAAATTAGCAAAGCACCTCACAGTTTTATAAGAGGACTAACATTTATATTACCTAATAAATTACCTTATATATGAACGTTTTCAAATATATCATAGAACTATGTGACAAATCCACTGAACTCTATAATGACAAAACAAATCTGTCGATTGTGCACAACCAACAACTGCAAAAACATTTGCAATATAGTTTGCAATGCATGCAAAACTGTAACATTACATTAACAGAACATTATAGAGTTCAGTGATGCAAAACATGCAGAAGGCTTTTGAAGAAGGCGCGCTGTTTTTGTTTCTCAAACATGCTACCAGATCAGTTTCCCTTCATCCAACAATAATTTCCTCCATGACTGCTTGGCGTAACTGGCCACCTGACGACCATTACGGAATCTCTGCTTTGTGACCCATCGCTAGATGTCACTCAAAGCTTACAACCTCCTGTGCCCGATTCCGAAGCACCCGGGGCCTGTGACGTCACACGTTGCCTGTTGAGCCGCGGCGGTTCGGCCGAGTGCGGCCGCCAGCCGATCGGGCAGTGCGAGCGCGAGCGCTGATGCGCGTGGGAGGGTGGGTGCGTGTGCGATCATCATCCCAGTGTCGCCAAAATGAGTGGTATCCAAGACCGGTTCAACAGTGTGATGAAAAGTTTTGCGAGGAAGGAGAAGCAGCCTGACACGGAGGTGGTGGCGGATGAACCAAACGACAAGGAGAGCCACTTCAAACGCGTAAAGGTAAGTTTCATTTTGGGGAGGAGTCTCCCGATCAAGAAGGAGGCTGTGTCCGCCCTTGGACGCGGCTGTGCGTAGGGAAACGCCTGTCGCATGAGGCGCCTCACCAGACGTGAGATGCCGTGCGGTCTGGGTCACCCAAAGGTCGGAGTTCCTATTTTCTCCATCTACTTCTCCGAAAAAAAAACGGCGAACTCATCACACACGCGCACGCACTCACCGGCCGTCTCCAGCGTCGGGCGTCGTTCAGCCGCTGCGCCCGTCGCCCATTTTACGCCCGGGCAGCGGAAGGCGCACCGCCTGAGGGCTACACCGGACCTCACGCGCACAGAGCGCTCGGGGCGGCGGATGTACCAGTATGTACCGTACGCCATTTCCAGCTCGGGGAAGGCGACGTTCCCATACCTGCCCAGCCTCGTTTGGGCTTGACGAAATGAGCATTCGTTGCTTGCCGGTGCGTGCCGCCACCTACCTAAAGAGGGTTTCTAATTTCTCTGTTCATGGGGCATGCAAATGGGTTTGCACGACGCACGTTTGCATGATATCTGTCCCGTGATGATGAGAGGGGCCATTTCTGGTCGAAGCTAGACCCCGAGGAGCGGACGGGATGATTGAGGGGGGCCCGGCGCTCGGGTGCGGTCCGGCCTGGAATGTGCAGCGCCCAGTCCCGCTGGGAGGTGAATAGCGCACCCAACAGAGAACTATGCGGCTGGAATGTGGGCGTTCTACGCCGCTTCCAGGGAGACAATGCTGCTGGAACTGCACTGCTCTGGAAGTTCTGGAACGATGGAACGCAGCGAGATCAGCATGGCAGAGAAGGACCTCGGTGACAGAAACAACTATTTTCTCAACCACCCCCCCCCCCCGAATCCGTAGTTAAAACACACCTATCCGTTGGGGTCTAAACGGGTTCCATTTTGGGTATGTCGTTTATTTATGACGCTCGCTAATGACCAGGGTAACTGCCGCAATTCCATCCCTTTCCCTGCCGCCCCATCGCCAAGTCTCCGGGGAGGCGGGTTCAGGTCAGCTCCGGGTCGAGCGGCGGGCCCATGGGCAGCGGCGTCCTCGGCCTGACCCCGATTTACCGACCCGACCGACCGGTGCACTCGGGCCATGCGGCTAATAGAGGAGGCGACTGCCGCTGATAGGTCGGGCCACATGCCGGGAAGGGATGTGTTTGCCGTTTGGGAATGTGATGCTTGACCGGACCGTGCCAGGCTGAGCCAGGTCAGGCCGGCGTGATGTCAGTTAGGGCCCTTCGCGATTTCGGGTCGGGTCGTTTACGGAGCCGGGCGTTGGGACGTGCGATGTCGGGACGATGCTGGCTTGTCCCGTTATAGCGTCGTCGTGATAACACATGGGCCCAGTTTTTGCTTTTCCCAGATTTATAAGGACATTCAGGTGGACGCGTGAGTGTAAATAAGTAATAAGCATTATTTTCTTATAATGGATATGTGGAATTACAAATAAAACCAGGCTGACTGGAGTTTGGTAACTAATCAGCGTTCCATGGATCGAACCGATACAATTTTCCTACCTGTTCATTTATTGGATCGCTTGCCACGGCACATGGTGATCTATGGGTGCCGTCAAGAACGAAATTACTTCCATAATTTATAAGCGTTTCTTAGATTGATGAGATGTTGTCAAAACGAGTTGATTGATGCATTTTGAATACTCTATCAGAGTAAATTGGTTAACGACTTTGGATGACAGAATTCCTCATGATGATTAATTGCGAGCTCATATACAGGGTGTTTCACAATAAACGTTACTTTTGATAAGCTTTTAAAATGACCTCAACTATTCGTATGCCCGTAAATTCTATATTCATTTTGTTGCAAATTCTTTCGGGTTTTTTATCCTTACAAGAACTATGACAAATTATCAACTGCATTCCTTATGTATACGTGCAATGTCCACGCCATCAAAACGGGTCAATTCGCTGTTAAGCTTCAGGGTCCTTCACAATGAATGTTGCTTTTCAAACGACGATGTTTCAGCGACATGTATTACATATGGCTCATGAGTATTACCACATGAGACAGCAGAACAGTAGGACTGATGAACATATAACTTTAAGTTCAGCACCCTTCACGGGCTCTCCACTATGTCACCCTTCCGTCTGACTTTTTCAACCAGATTTTCTGAGATCGCCGTCCGGCCAGGAGGCGGGGCTGGTCTCGTGTTTCCAGTCTTCTGGAAACTTTCTACCACCCGTTTGAAAGACATTTTGACGGAATATCCTTCCTCCTTTTAAAATGGCTACCGAAACTCCGTCGCACTGCAGTCTCCGCAAAGCGCCGTAATGCATGACCACCCATACCGCCTCATCACCTGTACACGGCGAATTGACCCGTTTTGACGGTGATGGCATTGCACGTCCATACAGATGTAACCGTTGACGGTTTGTAAAAAAATATAAGGACTAAAAACCGCAACAAATTTGCAGCAAAATGCATATGAAATTTACGCGCTTACGAACAAGTAAGATCTTCATTTAAACTATTCAAAAGTAACATTTATTGTGAAACACCCTGGGTTGGCTGGTGCTAGCAGCCATGTGAGCGCTATTCCCGGGCTGAGCTGTAAAGCCGCATTGAACAGCTCACGGCTTCCTGTCATCTGCCAGCGGCCACTGTTCCTGCAGTCAGTCACTGCGGGGCGTGGAGGAATGTTGTGCGGCTTCGTCTCCCGTTGGACGTGTCTAGAGATTGCAATCCCGGAACGTTTTGCCAATCCCGGGATCCCGAAAGTTTTTATTTCGGGATCCCGGGATCCCGGGATCCCGGCATTGTCACTAAATGTCGTAAGAGTGATTTCCTACTGACATATTTTGCGTCTTTAAGCTTACCACAAACAAAGAGGCAACTAAAAGCCATCCTTAGACCATGTCATTTGCATTAAAAACGATTGAACTTGCGAATAAAACGTTTCGATTTGATTAGCATTAGCATTTATTCCCAATTGGCCTTCATAAAACTGTGCGTCGACCAGATCGTTTACTAGACAGGTTCCAGCACATCCACGCCTCACTCACTCTTCGTCTACGCTACTCGTAGTTAGCGCAACAGTTTTAAGCCATTGCCATGTTGGTCTACTTAAAAACTCGCAACCAGTGTACGCCAACTTTGGCAGCTCCCTATTTCACAGTGTTTTCAAAACGTCGCTTGGTCACTTTACCTCCTTCCGGTTCCGCTTTCATCATTAATGTCTCTCAGAATTTGCTCGAAAGTCGCTTTGAGAGCAGAAACACTGACTGGGAGAGCTCCACTCTACCGTATTCAACGTCTGAATCAGTGAGCTCTGCCGTCACTTGCGTGACATCTGTGACATCTTTCTGCGACACGAGCTCAAAGACTGTCTTGATGACCTCCTTTGTTCCGGCCACGGACGGGCAAGTCAGAATCGCTGAACGATCTGTGATCCTGATAAAGATGTTGCAGCGCTGATGCTGCATTTTTTGGCTTTCGGGACCTTTTTTCGTACGTATTTAAGCGGTTTAACCGCTGTGGGTAATACCCGAGAGCTACCAACACGGTCGATTGTGGACGGCCAATACGGGGTGCTAGCCAGCACAATAAACAGTGTAAACAAGACTCGTGCAGCGGCTGCATTCTTTTTAAGGTGAAAACTGATTCTTTTCGGGATCCCGGGATTGGCGGAATTTCGGGATCGGGATCGGGATTAAAATCCCGCCGGAATCCCGGGATCCCGATCCCGGGATTGCAATCTCTAGACGTGTCCCTTCAACTCCCCTGATCACAGCTCAGTCTGCCCTCTTCCATCCCATGGAACACACCGACCATCGTCGTCACGAGCCGGCCAGCAACCAGTGCCGTGTCATTGGCAGGCCAGTGCGCTGCAGTTTATAGTCTGGACGTTCGTACCTCTCCGAAAGCAAGAAACACCGACAGAAATGTTATAAGCGACATTTTGATATGTTTAGACGCCGCCCTACACTCAGCCTTTCAAGACTTGATCCCAGTAGCGACCATGGCAGACTATCCAGCATACGTTGTACCATAAGTTTTGAGTTAAAATTGTTGTGCTCGGCACGTTAGTAAGCCCGACAAATCGCCGCTCGGAGACTCGACCGCCCCTTTTTCATTCGACATTCCGCTGCCCGACCCGTTAGCTCGAAATTTGCGTCACTACCCCCGGGGTATAGTCTGAGCCGGGCTTTATGGCTCAGCCTGGCATGGAAGCGGGACTGTGATGCTGTGGGCTGCAGTTACGTAATAACTGGAATGCTGGATTTTGACACGGGATAAAAGGCCAAGTGGTATGTCGGAGTGGATGAAAGCACTTGGAAACGCGTAATACATATGCGATGCAAGTTTGAGTTCTGTGCAATCAGGTATCGCAGCGGAGGGGCTATTGCCCCGTTATTTGTTTGGAAAGAGGCAGAAGGGAAATTTATCAGCTGTCCTGTATTTAGACGGCTATTTTTACCTATTTTTTTCACATATGTAAATGACATTATTATTTTTATTTTCGAAGCAAAACATTAACTCTTCAGAGTCGTGTGCTTTTCGTCTGGAATGATTGGTGATGGTCTCCAGTTCTAAACCGATATTTGTCCTAATGTTAAGCCATATTGTTGAACGTCGACCTCTGACCTCCAAATAGTGTCTAATCGATCAATTTCACGTCTTCAGCTGTCAACATTTGATGGATTTGGAAGTAACTTAACAGGCGTGATTGACAGGGTTTTGCGTCAATCACCCAATTAATCGAAGGCGCCCAAGGACGTTCACTGGAACACAGTCTTGTTTTGCCTCGGCCTTCACTGGTAAACGACCTTGCCGATCAGAACGGGTTATCGCTTTGCAACTTCATCCCTAGGTTGCGTCAAGCGGCCTGCCTGTCGTTCAGTTATCGGCTCTGCAGTCTGCGTGTAAGCGGTGGTGCGCGCCTGATGCCTTTGCTCAATCACGGAACGGTCTGCCCGTACCTTCGGCTTCAGCTCACCTTTCCTTTTACACACTTCCTCGGGG